AACTATCTCGATACTAAAGAGTTTCTTATTTCTAAAGAAAATATAAACTTAAGCTGAGTAATTACAAAGAGAAAATATATAACAGTGATGTAACTTCGATAAATGGAATAGTTTTTCTATTTTCCATCAAGCAAACACAAATTTTCTTTAAACAAAATTTAACTTTTCACAAAATATATGTTTGTATATTCAAAATATATGTTTGTATATTTTCTTTGAACCTTCTTTTAAATATAAAAATATATTTTTCGTATTTTTAGGATTTTGGTTCTAGGTATTGTTAATTTGAAATTATACCATTTTAGTTAACGTTTCGCGAATTCGATTTCGTGAACTAACATGGAAAGTTAGTTCACGAAATCGATGCTAGCTAGATTATGACGATGCCTAAAATAAAAATTGGCGAAACGTTAACTAAAATGGTATTATTTCAAATTAACAATACCTAGTACCAAAATCCAAAATCCCAAAAATACGAAAAATATACAGGGTGACGCACCTCATTCGCCTCGCTTGATTATACGAAAACGGAAAGATGTAGAAACAAAATATTTTATGAGTATATGTGGGCAGGTAATGTGTACAATTTAAAATTATTTTGAAATGTACAGGGTGTTTCAGAACTAAGATCCATACCAAAGTTATATTTTTTCTTATGGAACACCCGGTATTTTATTTCATTTTTGGATTCTTGGGCCCAAAAAAAGGTTTTTATTATAAGGGTTAAATATGTTTAAAATCTTTAGTTTTTAAGATATTTAAAGATATTTAAATTTGCATGCTACAATAGAATAGATTATTAACACCCTGTACATTACTTTTCAGAATTAATTCTTGTGCTGAGTTTAAAGGTAGAGAAATAAACTTTACAGAAAAATATTATTCCTTCCTTAAATGTATACAGAGGTATCAAAAATTGCTGGTCTATTTTAAATATTTATTTTACATAAAAACTTCGTTATTTCAAATGCAACACTATGTATTTTTTTTAAATAAGTCGAAGCAGATTTAAATGCTCTTTCAAACTATATTAGGGTTTCATATATCTATCTGGCTCAGATTTTTCAATAAAATTGTAATCAAGATGGCTAGTGTTATCGTGGCAAGTTTCTAGTGACAGTTAGTAGCTATTTTCAAAATCGAAATTAGTTTATGGACTTATTTAAATTTATACCAGTTTACTTTTATTTAATTTACCTACAATCGTTTAATAAATAATGTTTATTAAATATGTGTTTATTATTCTATCAAGAGAAACGAAGAAGTAGTTTTTTTAATTATTTTACGACTTACGACGACGTAGATATATGGATTTTCTATTCAAAGAGCCAATTACAGCAAATTAATTTTCTTCACTTCCAACGACAAGTTTCTGCCTAATAGGTTTTTCATAAACCACACTACCAGCTCTGTGAAAGAGGACAAGAAGTTTTTCAAGGAAACGCTTATCAGGAAAATTCCAATTTGGATATCTTTGGGCATAAGCCCTTGAAGCCAAGAAGCAATTTTCCTCACAAAATAATATCACTAGTAACATATCTATTCGTTCCGCCAGCATACTTATTAAACTATTGTAGGTAAATTTAAGTAAACTATTATAAATTACAAATAATAATGTCCATAAACTAATGTCGACTTTGAAAATAGTTACTAACTATCACTAGAAAATTGCCATGGCGACACCAGCCATCTTGATTGCAATTTTATTTAAAAATCGCTTTTTTTTATTCAAAATCTGAGCTAGATAGGTGTAGGAAACCTTAATATAGTTTGAAAGAGCATTTGAATCTGCTTAGATTTATTTAAAAAAATACAGGGAGTTGCATTTGAAATAACGAAGTTTTTATATAAAATATATCCTTAAAATAGATCAGCAACTTTTGATAGCCCTGTATAAATTTAAGGAACCAATATCATTTTTCAGTAAATTTTATTTCTCTACCTTTAAACTCACCATAAAAATCAATTCTGAAAAGTAATGCACAAGGTGTTAATAGTCTATTCTATTGTAGCATGCAAATTTAAATACCTTTAAATATCTAAAAAACTAAAGATTTTAAACACATTGAACCCTTATGAATCCAAAAATGAAATAAAATACCGGGTGTTCCATAAGAAGAGTCTCAGATTTTAATCGGGAAAATTTAATAGACGATAGAACTTGCAAAAATAAAACAAAAAGTTCATATCAACTTGTACGATTTAAAGCTTCCTTTTCGAGATACAGTGTGTTAAAGTTACTTAAAAAAGAAAAAAAAAATAAGATACTTGAAAAACCGTTTAATCGATTTTGATATAACTTGACCTGTTTATAATACTTACTATGGCACTTAATTTGATGTAATTAGATTTAAGTTTAATGGCCAGGGGCGGCGGTGGGGCATCACTGTTAAATAATTTAAAGGAAAAAATGGGCACGCTACTGCTTTTTTAGAAGTTTAATATTATTTTTGGATTTAGCAATTAAAAATATTATTTTTTTGTCTCTTGACTTTTTTGTCTATCTTGCTTACTTCTTGCGAAAAAAAATAAATTCTAATTGATAATTAATATTATAATTGGTATTCTAATGGTACCCTGTATCTCGAAAAGAAAGCTTTAAATCTTACAAGTTGATATGATTTTTTTGTTTTATTTTTGCAAGTTCTATCGTCTATTAAATTTTCCCGATTAAAATCTGAGACACCCTGTATATTCAAAATATTTATATAAATATCTAAGCATCAGATAAATATTTGACTGGCAAATGGCAATACCAGCAGTTATTTATGTTTCTATTCCGAGAATCGGCTGCTATTGGTTAAAAATTATGAAACAAATTTGTTCATCTAAATGACTACTTCTAAAAGAAACATATTTTTCAAATAGCATTTTTCAAAATTCTCAAGAAAAACATTTTTAGCCAGTTAATACTTTAAATGTAAAATTTGTACATGTACTTGGCAAACAAACATTTTTTATTGGTATACAGGGATCGGCAATAGTGCTTCGAGTATCTGTAGCTCCTATAATAAACAACTTAGAAATTTTGTACAGTACGTCTGTCCCTTCTGTGGCTACGGGGTATCCGTGAGAGGGGAAGCGATATTCTCTGGATGTTTTTCGTAAAAAATTAGACGACGCGTCCCATCAATAAAAATACGACAAATTTGCAAGTAGCCAATAAAATGAGTGGGCGGAGCGATTTGCGGTGACGTACTCGTCAAGTCGACGTATAAAATATATTGCTGTTTATTTAAATGTTTTTTGTCCGCTATTCCTTTCATAGACACAGATCCAGCAGACGTACTGTACAAGTGCGAATCTAGAGTATGTATTAGGAATACTTCAGGAAAATGAATTGAGATTATTTTAAATGGAATACACTCTAAATTATAGCATTTTTGGTTTTCTTTCTGATCATTTTACACAATCCTTAGATATTAATAAGTATGCATTATTGATAGTTTCAGAGATATTAAGTAAATAAAAAATACATTTTTTTCAGTCTTCTTTAAAGAAATTATTGAAAATAAAAAAAATGTCCTAAAATGAAAACTATACATTACATACTCTACGTTACATACTTTAGATTTGCACTAAATTTTTAAGTTGTTTATTATAGGAGCTACCGATTCCCGATGCACTATCGCTGGACCCTGTATGCCAAAAACAAATGTTTCTCAAGTACACGAGTCGTTAGAGCCCGGCTTAAAAATAAGTCAAATAAAAAAAGTCTCATATGATGCAAACAGGATCTGTGACATTTATAAAACAAATTGTCCAATCGCATACGTTATACATTGCCAACTTTTAATTTTCTATATTATTTTGATATGTTATAACAAATCAGGATTGATTGACGCATTCTATTATTTTCGATCACTTCCTGATTCACCGCATAACTACAACTTTTGATTTTTTAATGTAGTTTTTACTTTATTTGATAGAAAATGGCATACTAAATAGAATGATCAAATATCAACATTTTTGCTTAAAAATGCAGTATTTTAAATTTGAATCTAGATTGAAATGGATATGTTCATAAAGACAATTTGACTCGCAATACCAAGTATGTGCTACCAAATTAGCTAAAAATGCCCCTTCCAAATATGCTAATGATCACTCTCGTTCCATTAGAAAAAATTGAGTTATGATTATACAGGGTGAGTCTTAAATTAGAGCAAATATTTTCAGGTCTGGTATATTTCGACCCCAGGAACACGTCTATGAGGTTTTTTTTTCGCAAAAAAAAGATGTTGAAAATCGTGCATTTTCTTTTAAATTTCCCTGTATATTTTTCGAAAACTTTTTAGAACTGCCTACACACCGCAAATTTTCTCACGGTATAATTTCTTAATCTATGATATTACCATAGTTACGGCTTTACTCTATGGTTACGGCACTAAAAGGGATGCAATTACAGAAAAAAATCCGATGGCTCTCAAAATCATTTTTTTTTTAATTTTCAAACTTAAATAACTCGGATATTTTGGACTTATCTGAAAAATCGTAAAGAAAAAATATGTTTCTTTTATCGAGATCTACCACTCTGAAAATATTTGCACTTATTTAAGACTCTCCCTGTATATGGGCCATCTTTGAACTGGCTAGGAAACGTTACGAAAAAACATTGTCGACTATCAAATGTATATTTTCAAGGCCCCTTGATTAAAATCACTAATTATTTACCACACTACACCAAAACACCAGTTTCGCTAACCACGCATCATTTGCAGATGATTAACTGCATATAATTGTGCCATTAATAAAATTATGCCTCCCATATACTAATATACGCAATCTCTCTCTTTTTATCTGAAAAAATAAAAGGTTATAGGGGTAAGCCGTTTTTGAAAAACACCCAGAATAGGGTTTAATTATAAAATAAATAATAATATAAAATAGTTTCTAACCATTTAGCAAAGCTATAACCAGTTTTAAAATGAATCACTAATTTATTCTCATAATTATACCATAAAAATCACAAATAATAACTTAGACCTTGCATTCTTACTTACCCATTTTGGGCAAAACACCCGTTTCCCACAACTAACACTGCGACGATAATTCGAAACCACATTATTCTCAGAATGGCATCACAGATCTGTGCACTCTAGATATCCCGAAACCTATAGCAAAATTTCACACCCGATCGGCCACGAAGAAAGGTCTTTCTAGCGGCAAACCTATTTTTATTTATCTTTTTCGATCTGAGATCGGTAGATCGGTTGCTGGTGCGACGTCAAGACCCCGTAACGGACGCTTTCTACCGCGAACTAATGCACTATCCTGCCTGCATTTGTGTACGAATCACGATCTACTCGCTTTACCTTGTTTTCTTCTCCTGCGGCCGACCGGCTAAGTGGTCGGACCTTCCTGCTGCTGCCTTCAAGATTTTGATTAGTACGAGAGCTAATACGACGAATCATTCTTGGACTGAAAATACACTCACCGGCACGAAAAACGGGCACCTGAAAATTTTGATGTATTTTAGTTGTTAGTTGAAGCTTGTTAGTTCTCTGAGTCAGTTATATTTTTTAATGAAGCCGTTCTTCTTGTCAGTTATATTTTTTAATAAAGCAGCTACACAGATGCAATACCATAACGTAGTATACGGTATACAAAACCAAAGCAGGGTGAGGAATAGGAGTATTTAGGCCGAAAACTAAATATTCCGAATCAATGGGCACCCTAACACCAGCATCCTTCAGGCATAAATCTACGCTATCGAAAGATGCGTACAATTTATCTTAGATAGAAACTATCGAAAACAGGAAATAGCCATCTTATCCGATAGTCAAGCTGCTGCATCGCGTTTAGTGCTCTAAACGCGATCAATTCAGTAACCGTCAATTTGAAGTTGGTCAAAAAATGTCTAGAGGAGCTGAACAAATTAGGCAAAGAAAATAAAGTCCTCCTACTCTGGGTGCCCGCTCACCAAGGGATAGAAGGCAATGAAAAAGCAAATGATCTAGCTAGAAAAGGAGCGAACACTCTACTAACTGGACCAGAGCCGTTCTGTTTTCCAACCGTTCTGGAAACCAACTAAAGGCGGAACCTGGAAGACTCCATCCGTAACCTGGAATGGGAGTCCTCCAACGGTCTAAGAGACTCGAAAAAGTTCCTCAGAACTTACGACCGAGAAAAATCAAAGATTTTCCTTAATTTAAGTGAAAACAATATTCGGATTGTCACGGGGTTTCTAACAGGACACTGTCTCCTCAACGTACACCTCAGTAGGCTGAAGCTGAGGAACAACGGCGAATACAGATTCTGTGGGGAAAATGGGGAAACACCAGAACACCTTATCACTGAGTGCGCCGAGACGACGACCGTTCGTGTCATGAACTTTGGTACGGCTGATTTCGAGGATGGAGAGCTGGCCTTTGTGGAGGCGTCTCAGATACTGGCTTTTGTTAAAACCCTGAGACTGTATATATGAGGCAAGAAAGAGGAACACACAATAGATCTGTAAGGTCGCGGTGATTCACTTCCCTCCTAAACATTCTACATAGAGATACAAATAGACCTTATTATTTTAATACAGTTTGGATCAAATTAAACCTTTGTCACACTACAACTAACTTCAAACCTTTGTCACACTACAACTAACTTCAACCCCTTCAACTAATTCAAAACGGTTAAGCGTCCTTGAAGATCCGTATTTCGCAGATCCAAATTCCGATAGTTCTTTTACGGTCTAAAAAAACAAGCTACCGTCCGTATAGCCTATATCTAAATAGCTAACATTTTTCCTTTTTGCTTGAACATAAACCATCTGACTAATACAACGTGTGGTGATCCTCACCAGAACAATTACGTCATAGTCTCATTTACATCGGCTTTTACGGTAAGTTATTTTTAATACGAGTCGATTTTTCGTATTGGTATTTACTCTATTAATTTGCAAATGTTTTCATATAACAATGTGAACGAATTTTGTAAATTTTTGTCATTTTTGTTAACAAGAAAACGACGATATTGTGTCACAATATAAAATAAGACATAATTTGTGATTGCGAGTTGGTGGTGATTTCTATAATACCGATTATTTCGCGGTTACAGTAGTTATTAGAATATATTACTATGTCACACATCATACCTATACAGGCTGAGCCTTAAATAAGTGCAAATATCCAGAGCTGGTAGATCTCGCCTAATATTTTGGCTCTTTCATTGCAAATATTATTTTCGTTTTAATTGCTGCTGACAGCTACAGATAAGTATTGTTTCTGCATTACCACCGACCGGCGCCGGATTAAAGCCTACTAATTCAATGTGAGCAAATTTATAAAAACTCTATATCTCGAAGAGGAATCGAACAAAATATCAAGTATGCTATATTTTTGGAATGGTAATTTTAAGTTGTTTTCAATGAATTAATAATACACAGGATGCCCCGTATAAAAAATTAAGTTTTCTGTTGATAACTGTTAAATTATTAAAAAATTATACTTACACTTTCTTCGACACTATCTTCTATGGAAAAGGGTGTTTCCCTTTAAAATTGTCTAATTTGGCATACCCTGTACAGCCGGACCTTATTGTAACAGCAAGGGTTTTGGTATACTACTATTTTGTTACTTTAATTTTTGCCTATCTTCCTACCTCTCTGACTTTTCTCGCCCTTTCCCTTCTTGAATTCCAGAGTGTACCGCATTATTTTCATTAAAAAAAGACCAACGTACCTTTTATATTTTATTTAAACTGTTTATTATAAGTACATAACATATATAACATATATATCATATATATCTCTTTCTTTTGTTATGATTACGTGCGCTTTATGAATATAAATATGTTCAGTTGTACCTGTTATTTTACAAGTAAATTGTATCGTATGATCGAAAAAAAAACGGCGTCAGCGATGGTTATGAAATGAAGATCGCTGTCATTTTACGCCCTGCTGGTCATCCAATTTATGTGGTCTGGATTTTAATGAGTGTGAGAGAGAATAATTTAAATGACCGGTTGACAGACAGAGACAAAATTAAAAGCGGCATACACTGTTGTCGGTTTTTTACGTTTACAGGAAAATGTGTGTAGAAAAATATAAGCTATTTTAAAAACTTTCATGTATACTACTGAAATGATAATAATATATCTAAACTAAATATAATCTATTACAGCTGTAGTAAAATAAGTAACTAACATGTTTTGGGAATCACAAACAGGCCCGGAAGCTAAAAATATAAATAAGAAACAATCAAAGTAAAACATATTTGTCAAACGAACAAAGTCAAGTAACAAAACAATAAAATACGGGTACAAGTCATAAAAGTTATTTGTACAAAGAAATGGTTACAGAATGCTAAGCTGAGATTTATAACAAATAAATTACAATTACCATGGCAGCATTTATCCATCTAAAATTTCTCAAATATCATGAGTACTTGAAACTATTTCTAAAGGAATTTGGAAAATTCAGATTTAGCAAAGAGTAACACTTATCGAGTAACTATATACAGTTGGCCAAAAAATCCACTTCAACACTACTAAATGAACTAGCATGCTATACTACAATAGGGTGAGTCAAAGCTAAATATAAGACTTTTTTCTGTTATTTAAAAAAAACAATCTAAATTTTATAACATGATCAAAAGCTTTCTTAAGCACTTCTTATAACTAAAATTAGTATTAATTGTGCTCTTTTTTTTTAATAAAATATGTGAAACTTATCTACTAATTCTTAAAAATTTTCATGAGCAAAGTATGGGGTTTGGTTTGTCACTAGAGAGAAAAAAAGAGAAATCTGCATACATAGCTGAGATCAAATTTTTCACTTGACAAATTCAAAAATATAATTTATTTTTAATCTTTTCTACTATTTTAAATGCAACACTCTCTATTTTATATCATTGGTATTATTAACACAGATTTTATCAAACTTAATTTATTTTTATACCCAGCTCTATATTTATCGAATATTTTTCGGTAAATTAGAAAATTCAGAAATTATTTTTAAAATAAAACACAAGTTTAATCTTGATCTATTTTTACAGGTATGTAACCCCATCTATTAAATGTTGATAGTTATCTTCAAAAATAACAAAGATGATTAGTCGAAGACATTTTATAATAGCTGATCAAGTTTTTATAAGATCCGATATTAAAATGGAAAAATATATCAATATAAAGGAACCAGGAAAAATTTAGTAAATCTTTATTTATTCATTAAATTAAATAAAATACAATTCTTATAATGGTAACATTAAAAATTAGGTAACACATATACTTTAATAACAATATGTACCTTACAGCTAACTAAACATAATAAAATATAAAAATCATACATAATTTACCAATATTAAATGCACTAAAAACAAGTAAATGAAATAAAATCTATTTAGTTTGGAATAAAAATATCAGTCAGTCTCAAAATTAATTAGCACTTCTTTAATATAGGTTTAATATAAAATACTGACCCCAAAAATACTGAATATATATTCTTACATTGTTGTTAAATATAAAGTCTATATCTAATGACAAAATAAGGAAATAGTTTACATATAAACACATTAAAATCACATTTTCATATTTGTATGAAATTCTTCATATTTAGATTTCCTAGCAAGGAGGTTCCTGAAAAAGAAAATTCTTATTTGTAAATTGTGCATTTTTATACATGGTATATCAATATTTATTTACCTTAAAAAAAACATTACATTAAATATTACAAAATAATTTAAAAATTAAGATAATAAAATAGAAACACACACATAAAAATTATCAAAGTTTATATTGTTTGTTTGTAATATACTTACTTGTTTTTATTTTTTTTATGGTGTCAATTTTTACATGATTTTGTATTTTTTAAGGTAATGTTTTTTTTTTTCAGTAAATAAATAAATAAATATTCCGTACACATTAAACTACTATATATATTTTTCGAATAAAAATAACTTTGGACACAATTTAGGAGGATGTCAAATTTAACAAAAAAGGTTAACTAATTTAAAAAGTCTACACGTTATTGTAAAATATAATTTGTGACAATGACATTAGATTCCAGATTCTCGACAAGTAGATTATTGTTATGGCATGTAGAATGTAGGGTGAGACAAAGTGAATGTTGAACATAGGTCACTTTTGGGAGTAAGTTATCTATTTATCTTATTTTAAAAGGGGCACCCAGTCCCTACGTTATTTTGTACTATTAAGATTCCTTATTATATCTTACAGAACACATAATGCGAGACCTAAATTAGTTCTTTTTGAAAAGACGTTTTGACAATAAGAAGTTCATGCAGTTCAATTGGCACAAAATGATAAGATTACACTAATTGAACAGATTTATTGAATTAACGTCATGCATAGCATATCCACCTTGATTTTTATCAAGATCTACTGACACTAAAATAATAAAAAAAATGTGAAACTATAACATATACAGGGTGGCGCACCCCATTCGCCTCGTTTGGTTATACAAAAACGGAAAGATGTAGAAACAAAATATTTTATGGGTATATGTGGGGAGGTAATGTGCACAATTTAAAGTTATTTTGAAATGTACAGGGTGTTTCAGAACTAAGATCCATACCAAACTTATATTTTTTCTTATGGAACACCCAGTATCTTATTTTATTTTTGGGTTCTTGGGCCCAAAAAAAGGTATTTATTATAAGGGTTAAATATGTTTAAAATCTTTGGTTTTTGAGATATTAAAAGATGTTTAAATTTGTATGCTACAATAGAATAGATTTATTAACACCCTATACATTACTTTTCAGAATTAGTTCTTGTGCTGAGTTTAAAGGTAGAGAAATAAACTTTACATAAAAATGTTATTCCTTCCTTAAATGTATACAGAGGTATCAAAAATTGCTGGTCTATTTTAAATATTTTTTTTACATCGTTATTTCAAATGCAACACTAAGTATTTTTTTAAATAAGTCGAAGAAGATTTAAATGCTCTTTCAAACTATATTAGGGTTTCTTATAGCCATCTGGCTCAGATTTTGAGTAAAAAGCGATTTTTCAATAAAATCGTAATCAAGATGGCTAATGTTGTCATGGCAAGTTTCTAGTGACAGTAGCTATTTTCAAAATCGAAATTAGTTTATGGACTTATTTAAATTTATACCAGTTTACTTTTATTTAATTTACCTACAATAATATTTATTAAATATATGTTTATTATTCTATCAAGAAAAACGAAGAAGTAGTATTTGAATTATTTTACGATGGCTTGTAGATACAAGAATTTTCTATAAAAGAGCCAATTACGGCAAATTTATTTTCTTCAGTTCCAACGACAGTTTTCTGCCTAATAGGGTTTTTATAAACCACACTACCAGACGAAATAGGAAGTTTTTCAAGGAAACTCTCATCAGGAAGATTCCTATATGGATATCTTTGAGCATAAGCCCTTGAGGCCAAGAATAAATTTTCCTCTAAAAATATCACTAGTAACATATCTATTCGTTCCGCCAGCAGATACTGCTTTATTTTTCTTGATAAAATAATGAATACTTATTTATTAAATTATTGTAGGTAAATTTAAGCAAACTGTTATAAATTATAAATAATAATGTCCATAAACTAATGTCGACTTTAAAAATAGTTACTAACTGTCACTAGAAAATTGCCATGGCGACACCAGCCATCTTGATTACAATTTTATTTAAAAATCGCTTTTTATTCAAAATCTGAGCTAGATAGGTATTTATTAGGAAACCCTAATATAGTTTGAAAGAGCATTTGAATCTGCTTCGATTTGTTTAAAAAAATACAGGGTGTTACATTTGAAATAACAAAGTTTTTATATAAAATATATCCTTAAAATAGATCAGCAACTTTTGATAGCCCTGTATAAATTTAAGGAACCAATACCATTTTTCAGTAAAGTTTATTGCTCTACTACCTTTAAACTCAGCATAAGAATTAATTCCGAAAAGTCATGTACAGGGTGTTAATAATCTATTCTATTGTAGCATGCAAATTTAAATATCTCAAAAACTAAAGATTTTAAACATATTTAACCCTTACAATAAATGCCTTTTTTTGGGCCCAAGAATCCAAAAATGAATTAAAATACCGGGTGTTCTATAAGAAAAAATATACCTTTGGTATGGATCTTAGTTCTGAAACACCCTGTATATTTCAAAATAATTTTAAATTGTGCACATTGTCTCCCCACATATACTCCTAAAATATTTTGTTTCTACATTTTTTCGTTTTCGTATCAACCGAGGCGAATGAGGTGCGCCACCATGAATAAGCTTATGTAATATAGTATTTTGAACAGAATATGGCTCTTCTGTATGGAATTCCGTAATAATATAGAGTTCTTGTCCCCAAAACTGACATGTTTAGTAGATATTAATTTTGTCTCACTCTTTAAGCATACTTCAAATCTTTTGTCTCACTCTGCAGTATGTCCTCGGAAAAACTTTTTTATTATTTGCATTTTGAGAAAAATGCATTCTTCATAATTTTTTTTTAAATATCACGTTAATCAATTTTTTTATTAAAGTTTTTGTTAATTTTCTCTAAAACGACATGACATGGAAATTTGGAAAATTATAAACGGGATTAACCATTTTAGAGGCAAAATTTTTATGAAGAATATTTTCTTCTGAAAATGTCAATAATAAAAAAATGTTTCCTCTTGTAAAGACAATCCGGGGATATATTGTATAACTATACTTCATATCAAAATGAAATATGGTTTATCGTACAATGATTCCTTTAACTACGTAGTATGTTATACAACTATAGTATTTTTTGTAATTTATATAGAATTTTATTAAAATTGAAAATATGTTCTTTATATTTCAAAAAAGCATAAAATATACATACTACTACATAAATTTTCGGCATAAACTTCTTTAATTGAACTGGCCTTTTGTTTTCGTAGAATTCGAAATCCTGTATCCCATTGAAAATGCAACTTTTTGAAGGCCCTATAGACCACCAACTAATTTTATATTATAGTTTAAATAAATTTATATCTGTTTTTTTTTCTCAGGTAAGATTTCGACAGACGATGACAGAAGAAAAGCAGATGACGTCCCATACCAATCTATTTATTTTACTAAAAAAAGTTTCTAATATTTTTTAAGGCAACTATGGATGGGTTTAAATATAAAGCTGTCATGCGTCGTCTCTTGTTGTTTTTAACCAGTTTTATTGGTTTATTTCAAAAATGACAGATCATATTTCAATTTTATTGGTTTGACGGAACGATGAACGACAAACGGAAGCCGATGCGTATGAACTCGTCTTTAGGTTTTTGACGCTTGTCAAAGTCTTGCCAAATTATAGGTTATAATTTTGTGTCAACTTATGTCAAATACACTGCGTTTTGGAAGATGATGCATTTTGATTCGTGTTATTAAGTGTGTTTTGTGTCTTTTGAAGTCAAGTGGAGGAAAAATCGAGGGAAAATTAACTGTAGACTAGATTAATTATAAACTGTGTAGAGCACAGTTTATAATTAATACTCACGGCCCAGGCAGAAAGCCTTATACGAGTACACCAATAAAGTTTGTATACCATCTCGTCGTAGATAAGTGCATCTCGCATATGGTACAAGGATCGTACTAAACATAATATACTACCGGAGTAGCTGTAAAATATCGACATCACACGATAGGTAAATAATGGATTACTGCAGAAAAATAATGTCAAAAGGTACCAGGTAAATGGTCAAGGTTTAAAAAATTAAGATTAAAGTTAATTAATCAACCTTTAAGGTAAAAAAAAATTGGTAAGTGTTATTATTAATAAAATATGTTTAGTTTGTTTTATTTATGTTGTTTTATTTATTCCTGTGGAATATTATAAATTTTGTATTTGTACATAAGTTATATTGATAAATATAATAATAAATGCGGGAAGTTTCTTGAAGCTTGAAAGTAAGAAATAGTTCTTTTTATATTTTTTTGGTATGTGGTGTTTTGTTCTTGTTTGTTTTGTATTAACACATGCCGTTTTTTTTTAATAAAATAACTCGATTACATTTTTCCAGTTTTATACAGTTTTTTTACAATATTTTGAAGTAACCACTTATCAGTCAAATTTTAAATATATTAATTTCCTGCTATGCGTTCCAGTTTTACCAACTTATTTCTTTGTAAAATAAAATAAATTAGTTTGAAATTAAAATGACAGACACTTCTATCACTGTCAAGAATCTTGTCGGACAGACTATACATTTTTTGTTCCAAAAATTTCATTTCCATTTAGTTTTTCTCTTTGAAGAGTAAGTATGATATGAGGAATATATATATGGACTCTGAATAACAGGTACGAAAATATGTTTTACTTACTGAATAAATATCCTAATCTAAGTTATCATCCTTAATATTTTACATCTTCAGAGTTTCCTTCACTTTCTTCGATAAACTCCTTGCTGTTAGACTAGATACAACTCGGTGATTTTGATTCTAAAATAAAAACAATAGTAATTATCATATATTAAAAGTCTAGTTGATTTACAACAGAAAAACAATATGTATAACCAAAGAATATCTTAATACCCTAGAAGTCTCGTCTGGCATCAAAATCTGACCTGTCGATGGGGCCTCGCTTTGGCGAGCGAGGCCCCAACTTCGTGGAGCCTCGCTATTTTGCTCGGAATTGAACGAATAGACGCGCGGCGTTGCCTTGTTTTGTGTGTACTTTCTTGAATAGTTTTAAATTATAGTTTTAAATTTTATCTATTGCTATAATCAGGTCTTTCCGTTCTCCGCACTCCGCCAGTTTACATATAATATTATCTTATATAATTCCCGTGTTACAGTTTTGGTTACCGTAATCTCCGAAACGGCTTAACCGATTTTGATGAAATTTTATATGTATATTCAGTAGGTCTGAGAATAGGTAGTTATATATTTTTTATACCCTTAAATGATAAGGGTAGTCCACCCCCATTTTTTTATTTTGTGAAAAAACAATATTTTAATTTTTTTTTATTTGGCATTAAAAAATACAAACAACACTAAATTTTCACCGTTCTACTTTCATCCCCTATTTTTTAATAGGGGTTGTTTTTTTAATTTTTTGTTACCATCTCCGAAACGACTTTTTTTGATAAAATTCGGCTCCGATTTTGATAAAATTTTATATGTATATTCAGTACGTCTAAGAATAAGTTGTTATCTATTTTTATACCCTTAACTGATAAGGGTAGCCGAGAGGGTAACCCACCCTCATTTTTTTTTAGTTTTTGAAAAGAAAAAAATGTTTTTTATTTTTTTATTTGGCATTAAGAAATACAAACAACCCTAAATTTTCACCGTTCTGCTATCATCCCCTATTTTTAATAGGGGTTGTTTTTTATTTTTTTTGTTGCTATCTCCGAAACGGCTTAGCCGATTTTGATGAAATTTTATAAGTATATTGAGTAGGTCTGAAAACAGGTTGTTATATTTTTTTATACCCTTAAGTGATAAGGGTAACCCACCCCCTTTTTTTATTTAAAAAAATATTTTATTTTATTTTTTATTTGGCATTAAAAATATAAACAACCCTAAGTTTTCACCAGTTCTACTCATCATCCCCTATTTTATAATAGGGATGTTTTTTTTTTAATTTTTTTGTTACCATCTCCGAAACGGCTTGATCGATTTTGATGAAATTTTATATGTATATTCAGTAGGTCTGAGAATACGTTGTTATCTGTTTTATACCCTTAAGTGATAAGGGTAGCCCACCCCCATTTTTTTATTTTTGAAAAAAAAAATATTTTAATTTTGTTTATTTGTCATTAAAAATACAAACAACCCTAAATTTTCACTGTTCTACCATCATCCCCTATTTTTTAATAGGGGTTGTTTTTTTAAGTTTTTTGTTACCATCTCCAAAACGGCTTAACCGATTTTGATAAAATTTTATATGTATATTCAGTACGTCTAAGAATAGGTTGTTACCTATTCTTATACCCTTAAGTGATAAGGGTAGCCGAGAGGGTAGCCCACCCTCATGTTTTTATTTTTGAAAAAAAAATTATTTTTTTTATTTGGCCTTAAAAAATACAAACAACTTTAAATTTTCACCGTTCTACCATCATCCCCTATTTTCTAATAGGGGTTGTTTTTTGTTACCATCTCCGAAACGGCTTGGCCGATTTTGATGAAATTTTATTATGTATATTGAGGTCTGAAAATAGTTTGTTATATATTTTTTATACCCTTAAGTGATAAGGGTAGCCCACCCTCATTTTTTTATTTTTGGAAAAAAAAATATTTTTTTTATTTGGCCTTAAAAAATACAAACAACTCTAAATTTTCACCGTTCTACCATCATCCCCTATTTTTTAATAGGGGTTGTTTTTTTAAGTTTTTTGTTACCATCTCCGATTGACCGATTTTGATAAAATTTTATATGTATGTATATTCAGTACGTCTAAGAATAAGTTGTTATCTATTCTTATACCCCTAAGTGATAAGGGTAGCCGAGAGGGTAGCCTACCCTCATTTTTTTATTTTTGAAAAAAAAATATTTTTTTTATTTGGCCTTAAAAAATACAAACAACTCTAAATTTTCACCGTTCTACCATCATCCCCTATTTTCTAATAGGGGTTGTTTTTTTGATACCATCTCCGAAACGGCTTGGCCGATTTTGATGACATTTTATTATGTATATTGTGTAGGTCTGAAAATAGTTTGTTATCTATTTTTATACCCTTAAGTGGTAAGGGTAGCCCACCCCCATTTTTTATTTGTTGAAAAAAAAATTATTTTAATTTTTTTTATTTGGCATTAAAAAATACAAACAACCCTAAATTTTCACCGTTCTACCATCATCCCCTATTTTTTAATAGGGGTTGTTTTTTTAAGTTTTTTGTTACCATCTCCGATTGACCGATTTTGATAACATTTTATATGTATGTATATTCAGTACGTCTAAGAATAAGTTGTTATCTATTCTTATACCCTTAAGTGATAAGGGTAGCCGAGAGGGTAGCCTACCCTCATTTTTTTTATTTTTAAAAAAAAGTATTTTTTTTATTTGGCCTTAAAAAATACAAACAACTCTAAATTTTCACCGTTCTACCATCATCCCCATTTTTTAATAGGGGTTGTTTTTTTTAAAGTTTCTTGTTACCATTTCCGAAACGGTTTAGCCGATTTTGATGAAATTTTATTATGTATATTGAGTAGGTCTGAAAATAGTTTGTTATCTATTTTTTATACCCTTAAGTGATAAGGGTAGCCCATTCCCATTTTTTTATATTTTGAAAAAATATATATTTTTATTTTTTTATTTTGCATTAAAAAATACAAAGAACCCAAAATTTTCACCGTTCTACCATCATCCCCCTATTTTTTAATAGGGGTTGTTTTTTTAATTTTTTGTTTACATCCGTGAAACGGCTTTGACCGATTTTGATAGGTTGTTATCTGTTTTTTTATAATGTTTTTATACCCTTATGTGGTAAGGGTAGCCCACCCTCATTTTTTATTTTTTGAAAAGAAAAAATGTTTTTATTTTTTTAGTTGGCATTAATAAATACAAATAACCCTAAATTTTCACCGTTCCACCATCATCCCCTATATTTTAATAGGGGTTGTTTTTTTTAAATTTTTTGTTACCATCTCCGAAACGGCTAGACCGATTTTGATAAAATTTTATATGTATATTCAGTAGGTCTGGTTTGGTTTGGTTTGGTCACAACCTATTCCTAGGTTGTTATCTATTTTTTATACCCCTAAGTGAAAAGAGTGGCTCACCCCAACTTTTTTTTTTTTATTTTTTAGACAAATTTTTTATTTTAATTGTTTTATAGGGAGTGCTTATTTTTTAGGGGGTGCATGTCCAAAATTTTCTTATGGGTACACACTTTCATCACTTAAGGGACCTCTGTACAAAATTGCATACTCCTAGTCCTAGAACGGATTTTACATAAAAATTATACAAATTTTTACCCTTAGTTTTACCCCCTTAAGGAATGAATTCCAAAAATCGCTCTAATTATTCAATTACGCTACATAATAAACCTCTGTGCAAATCATCATATATAATCATCATCATATTCCTTGAACAGAATTTATTGTTCCAGAACGTTCAACCCTTCATTTCACACCCTTAGAGGGCGAATTTCCAAAATTGCTTCTTAGTGCTAAATTACGTTACATAAGGAACGTCTGCAAAATTCATACTTCTACAACCGATTTCAACAAATTTTGTACAAATTTTCATCCCTTATTTTCAGGGGATGCATGCCTAAAATTCGCTTCTAGGTACTCACTTTCATCATTTAAGGGACCTCTGAACAGAATTTCATACTCCTAGTCCTAGAACGGATTTTACATAAAAAATTATACAAATTTTCACCCCTAGTTTTACCCCCTTAAGGAATGAATTCGAAAAATCACTCTAATTATTCAATTACGCTACATAAGGAACCTCTGTGCAAATTTTCATATTCCTTGAACAGAATTTATTGTTCCAGAACGTTCAACCCCTCATTTCACACCCTTAGAGGGCGAATTTCCAAAAATTGCTTCTTAGTGCTAAATTACGTTACATAAGGAACGTCTGCAAAATTCATACTTCTAAAACCGATTTTAACAAATTTTGTACAAATTTTCATCCCTTATTTTTTAGGGGATGCATGCCTAAAATTCGCTTCTAGGTACTCACTTTCATCATTTAAGGGACCTCTGAACAGAATTTCATACTCCTAGTCCTAGAACGGATTTTGCATAAAAAAATTATACAAATTTTCACCCCTAGTTTTATCCCCTTAAGGAATGAATTCCAAAAATCACTCTAATTATTCAATTACGCTACATAAGGAACCTCTATGCAAATTCTCATATTCCTTGAACAGAATTTATTGTTCCAGAACGTTCAACCCCTCATTTCACACCCTTAGAGGGCGAATTTCCAAAAATTGCTTCTTATTGCTAAATTACGTTACATAAGGAACGTCTGCAAAATTCATACTTCTAAAACCGATTTTAACCTTTTGTACAAATTTTCATCCCTTATTTCTAAGGGATGAATGTCAAAAATTAGCTTCTAGGTACTCGTCACTTAAGGAAACTCTGTACAAAATGTCATACTCCTAGAACTAACACTTTTTGTACAAAATTTCACCCCCCAGTTTCACTACCCTTAGGCTATACATTTCCAAAAATCGCTTATCAATGTTCAAATGCGCCACATCTGTGCAAAAGTTCATACTCCTAGTAGGTACAGATTTTTTTTTGTATAATTACATCTCTTTATCTAATTACACCCCCTTATGGGTCGAATTTTAAAAAATTACTTAGTAGTGCTCATCTTAGAGAACGAATTAATATTCTCCGTATTTACTCCAGTTTCCTAATACTAGCACAGATAACACATAATCATACTAGTTAATTTTTTATTGGAATAGAAGTAAATTTTATTAGAAGGTACAAAAAAATTAAAAATCTAAAATTTTATTTTCATAGCTACGTTTTTTTTCATAGCCTTAGGATGCCTCATGTACTATCGAATATACGAAATATATAATCAATACATATTTCTTTAAATATCGAGAAATAAAATATGTTTGGCAACACCGTACGAAATATCGCCGCGCGTAGGCCTCAAAATTTAAAATATTAGCATTTTCAGGCTTCGATTATGTTCAAAAGCGCCACCGTATGACAAATCACTAAAGCTTCCACACGAGAGTTCTTAAAACTATAATATTCTTTGGTATAACAAATATACTGGGTATTCTTTAAAATATCAATGATGCTACTACTTTTCAAACTAAGTGGCAACCTTTAAATAAAAGGATTAATATATAAAGGAGTAAATGCTATAGGTACTCTGTTTTTTTTTCAGGTAAGATTTTGACAGACGAGGACAGAAAAAAAGCAGATGACGTCCATACCAATCCATTTATTTCACTAAAAAAAGTTTCTAATATTTTTTAAGTTAGCTATGGATGGGTTTATTTATAAATCCGTCATGCGTCGTCTCTTGTTGTTTTTCACCTGTTTTATTGGTTTATTTAAAAAATGACAGATCGTATTTCAATTATTATTGGTTTGACGGAACGATGAACGACACACGGACACCGATGCATGTGAACTCGCCTTAAAATTTTTGAGAGTTGTCAAACTCTTGCCAAATTATAGGTTATAATTTTGTGTCAAATTATATCAAATAGAAACGAAACATTTTTTGCATTTTGCATTTTGGACTGTGTTATTAAGTGTATTTTGTGTTTTTTAAAATTAAGTGGAGGAAAACTCGAAGGAAAATTAAGTGTTGACCATAGTTTACAGTTAATATTCGCTGCCCAGAGATCGCCAGATACACAGTTTGCCAGAAAGTTGTATTAGCCACAAATAAAGTTTGTATACCATCTCGTACCTATATTGTACCAAAAACTAGAGTATCTGTAAAATCACACGATAGGCAAATAATAAATTTTAATACGGCCAGAAAGATAATGTCAAAAGGCACTGTTTTTTTAATAAAATAACTCGATGAGATTGTTTCCGTTTTATACAGTTTTTTTCACAATATTTTGAAGTAATCAATCACTTGTCACTTAAATTTTAAATTAATTTTCTGCCAGTCTGCTATTCGTTCCAATTCTACCAACTTATTTCTTTCTAAAATAAAATAAACTACTTTGAAATTATAATGACAGAGACAACTATCACTGTCAAGGATTTTGTCGTTGGATAGACTATATCCATGTATCCATGCAAGGTAGACGAACAAAGGACCCTAGGGTGGAGATCCTTGACAGTTCCGTTTGACGATTTATTTGACACATTTGAATTTGATTTGAGATTTTGTGGATTTGTCAGTCTTTACTGAGCTAATTTTATGATATTTATTATTTATTCTACTACTGATAGTTGTTTAAAGGTAGTAAATCTAGAAGGAAATTATAGTAAAACTTAAATTAACAATGACACAACACAAAAAAACAACAAATTTCTATCGAATAAAGTAAAAAAATACAGAGGATGCCATTTAAAAATCAAAAGTTGTAGTAATTTCCGGTAAAACAGGAAGTGACCGAAAACAATTGAATACGTCAATCAATCCTAATTTATGTCATTATACTAACATACCAAATCTCGTTTTTTTAACTCGAAAAATAAAAAAGTTATAGGGGTGAGCCACTTTTGAGACACACCCGGTATAAGTATCAGAAAAAAATATGCAGATTTGAGCAATTTGAAATTAAAGCTACCTTTGTCATCTATGTTTTTTTCTATAATAACCCAACTCTTATATTCAGTCCATTTTTTATTGATTTCTAAAATATTGTTTTTAAAATGAGATATAAAAATGCTGTAAGTATATTATATATTTTTAAATAAAATTTGTAAACTACCTATACTAATTAAATGATATACAGGGTTCTCTAATATTCAATTAATACTTATTTTGGGAATAAAAAGATGTTAGTTGGATACAATTTACCTTTATAAAAAAGTACCCTTGGTTTGTCCGTTAAATGACATCAAATTTAGAAAAAAAGTATTTTTAAGATATTTAAGAACCGAAATTCCGATTTGAATTGGATTTGGAGAGCCCATATTTTAATACGCGTTTTAACATTTGACTTACACAATAAAACAGATGTGTAAAAACTACCCATACATAAATTCTAGTAGATATAGTTTGCAATGTTGTTAAATGTTGTTAATTCACAAGTATTTTTTTCGTAAAATGGTCACTCTGGTATTTACTAATTCTTGTGCCTTGATGTGCACTTTGGTATAGAGCTAAATTATATCCAGCTTATTTTAATTCCAAAAATACGTAGGAAAAATCCACGGAATAGTGTGACGCCCTGTAATGAAAAATTATAGAATAAAAAAAAATATTGTTAACACTCATAGTACCGTATGATCGAAAAAAAACGAATGATAACTTTAGCGAGGTCAATCTCTGGACGTCATTTACCAAAAATTGACATAAAACTTGTCAAATATTAACACTAATTATAGAAAGGTTAATAAAGGATAAAACGTTTTCAGACACACAAATCTATTTCCAAAAAAATACTTCTTTTCGAGTTTTAAACTACGTTTAAAAATATTTCTTACTCGATATAAAACCTGACAGTAAGCGCCATTAAAAACCAAAGAAGGCTACAACCCAAGCAAATCACATCTAGGGTTGTGTCTAGGGCTTAACCTCGCCAAAATTATCATCGATTGTCTTTCCCCAGCCGTTTTTTTTTCGATCGTATGGTATAATTTACAACAAGTCAAGTACTTACATCGTTATTTTCGAACTTCTTCCGGAGATCTCTCACTGAAACCCTTATTTCTTCATCCTGCGATGTCGCTCTTACGAAGGAACTGTTAAAGTTTGCTTCCGATTTCGAAAACTTCCCCAAAGCATTCCTAACCAAATGTTTCCTTTCAATTTCATCCACCTCCAGATCATCGCCATTATAACTCTCCTTCATTTTATCGGACAAACTATCCGTTTCGTGTTTACTTAACATCTCACTCCTCAAACTAATATCGGCAGACGACAGATCATCGTACGACTGATACAGTCTTCTTTTGTTTACTGGAGTTCTCTTTAACGTTGGGGTCGCTGGAGAAAAGAAATGATCATCATCGGGACTGGACAGATTCATGCTCTTTGGTCTTGGCGTTACTGGTGTAGTTACTTCCAAATTGGGCATGTTTTCCCCGTGAGTTGTTAAAGCAAAATTCAAAACTCGCGGATCCTTGTATATTTTCGTGATTATTGTGTTATCTTTTCTTTTAGGAAGATGTTCCGCTTCATCAATACTCAAAAGGTCTTCCTGAGACCCGTATATAAACCTTCTGGTCGATTCTGACTTAGGAGTGCTGCTGGTTTGCTTCAACCAAAACGCTTCATCTCCGTCTCCGACGTGGGTAGCGACATTCTCGTTAATAGTGGAAATGACGTGGTTATGTTTAACGCTTCCCTCGGAATCTATCGACAGTAAGTCTTCTTCTGAACTGAAGAACGACATCTTCCCTGTTTTGCCAGAATCATATTCAGAATACAATCCATCATCGGAGCTTTCGTAGTTCCTCTCTCTACTTAACTGGTTTGTATTAGTCTTGTTTTGATGATAACTTGACCTTGTATGATGCGGCGAGTCTTCATTATCTAAATCCTCCCTGCTTCTCAATCGGAATAGTCTGACTTTAGGATCCTTGTATATTTTTGAGATAAGAGTGTTATCCTTTTTTTGATGTAAATGTTTTGGTGGCGTATCGAAGGAATCTTCGTTGAAATTGGCCTGGATCGAAGTAGATCTTTGTGATATAAACGTAGATGAAACGTATTTTGGTGTAGTAGAACCTACTCCATTTTCTAATGGTGCATGATTCTTTGCTAAATTTCTGGGCTTGGCAATAGGTTTAGAAATATCTGCTTTTATATCATGACTATTTGATAACGACACATTGTTATTTGCTGTTGCATTATTCCCATTCTCATCAGCTATCGTCTTATACGAAATACCAAAGGGTACTGGTTTTATAGGTATATGAAGACTTTTGTCTTTGGTTTCTTTGATGACCTGTGAATGCGTCACATCATAAGAGTTGACGTAGCTCAAATCTGAATCGGAGGTTATTTCAGAACTATGTAAGCTAAAATTCGGAACTTCAGACTCATGTAGTACTATCGGCGAACCATATTGATCTACTGTTAAATGTGGCATGTCGTCCTCGGGTATAACAACTGCCGGTACTGCTCTATCCAAGTGTTCAGTATAGATAAACTGCTCAGTTGTTATTGATCCTATAAGTTCAAGAGGTGGTGCGGATTTTGGAATTTCTGGAAGAACAGGTTCTGATAATTCCGATGTCGATTGTATCGGAATTTTTGGTGGAGCACTATTAGGCAGTGCCGGTGGAACTGTTTTTGGTGGTGGACTATCAGGAAGAGCTGGTGCGTCACTACTGAACGTTTCTGTTAATTTTCCGATAAGGCCTTTTGGTGGTGGTGTAGTTGGAAGCGCTGGAGGCTCCGTACTTTGTGGACTAAGCGATTTGTCCCTTGTAGGTCCTGATGGAGGCCAATTTTCAGCAATCTGTAGAGGGTTAGCGTATTAGTTACAGGTTAGATGAAATGGGATGAAACGTTGCGTTAGGCATTGTTAATTTATTGTTATTTATGTTGTACGAAATCTGTAAACAACGATTTATACTAAAAATCATAATAGATAATTAAAATCAACTTCAAATTATATATTAATTAAATGTCTAATAGTTAAATAATGGATGTATTAAGGGGATGATTAAAGATACCGACAGTTTTCTCAATAGTTAATTATTTTATATAATTACTTTTTTTTATTTTATATTATATTTAATCTATTATACCATCCATATTATCTAAAGTTTATAAGTAGAAACAAACATTTAAAACTGTGACGATATCCATCTTTAGATTTAAACCTTTTCTTATCTGACAGTTTTATTGTAATATTAGTCATGTTTTAAATATTTTTAGATAATTAACGTTATAAAAGATGACTGCCAATAGTTAAAATAAAAACGTTTTTCAATAAAATCGTTGCACAAACCACCATTCTATTGCCTTTTTTCCAATAAAGTTGAAACTTAAAGTCAAAATACACATTTTTGTGGTCATTATACACAACCAATTGGCACCTTGTATGTTTTTGTTCATATTTACATATAGCTGAAATTCGTCTTATCATCGATATATCATGAGTAGGTATTATTTTTCAAAATACCAGTTGGTAATATTTTTGCAAAATACCAAATAAGTATTTAATTCTAATGAAATTGGAATTTTTCTGTAATATATCATATATATGCAAGTTATTTTGTTTTACAAAATAACTTAACATGTAGCTGTAGTGATTACTCGGTATATATGTATCTTACAGTAATTATATGGTACATGTACAGAAGGGTAAATAAATGTTTTTTTTTGAAGAAAACAAATGTGCAAATATATATTCTTACCTTATTCAAAATAACGTAAAACCACTAAAATCATGAAAGGTTTTTTATCTAATGTTGCAAATGGTCGATTAAAAATAAATTTTATCGGTGTTATTAGACATATAAGCACTAAAGAATAAAGCCGTAAAGATAAAAAGGATTGCAGTACTAGATAAAATAATTTATCAGATATTTTTTCGTCCTGTCAGATCATATATAACAAGTAACAATTAATTGATATCATTAAAGGTCGTACATTAATTACTGTAGTTTATGTAAATACTAATAACATTGTACAATAAGTGTCCGATATTTTACAGGGTGTTTTTTCAGGTATTGTTAAGGTAAAAAGTTCATATAAACACGTATTCTAAAATTCTTCGTTTTCGAGATACAGGGTGTCAAAGTTTTAGGAAATAAATATTTTGTTTCGGAGCCACTCCGGATGTTTTTTTGAGAAATTTGGTACACGTCTTTTCACCATTAAGAAATATTTTTCGATGAAAAACATCTTTCTGGTATAAATATATAAAAAAACTGGTATAAATATATAAAAAAAAATATAACAAAAAGAGACGAAAGCCTATTTCAAGTCGGGCTCTGACGACTAGTGTACTTGACAAACATTTGTTATTGGCATACAGGGTCCGGCGATAAAGTATGTAATGTATAGTTTTCATTTCAGAACAATTCATATATGTTTAAAAAAATATTAAAAAAAAGCTTAAAAAAATATGTTTTTATTTATTTATTAATATCTCTGAAACTATCACAATACATTTAATAATATCTTAGAATTATGTAAAGCGATCAGAAAGGAAGCCAAAATGCAATAATATACAGTTCCACTAAAAAAATCATCCCAATCCATTCACAAATTTTTCAGCCACCCTGTAGAAGTTAAAATATTTTCCTAAAATACATCCTAATACATACTTTAGGTTTGCACTTGCATACAAAATTTCGAAGTTGTTTATTATAGGAGCTGCAGATGCCTTATGAACTATCGGCTGACCCTGTATGCCAATAACAAATGTTTGTCAAGTACACGAGTCGTCTGAGTCCGGTTTCATATTACGTACAAAACACCATGTCATATTTTGACAATTTCGCCATGCTTTAAAATTGTTTTAATTGTTTACGCAAAAACCGTGCGCCTGACAAAAAGCCAAGAGACATGATTTGTTCTAAAATGAATGGGCATTCTAAAAATAATTTCTTTTTAAGAAAAATCGTTTCGTACCACCTTTTTTTTCAAAAATATTCAATCAATACCCCGTACGAACGTCACTGCTGAAGATTTGAAAAAAATCATCTAAACTAAAAATGTCCCTAAATAATTAAAAAACGTGAACTTGGTAGACAATGATTCAGTATTGAAACCAAGATACATAGACCATGGTATGTTCATTTGTCGTTTCAAATTGGTTCATTTCTGCGCATGACGTCACATTCGAATCAAATCCATGACAGCTGCATTTGATCTAATGGTTTTTACCTGTTTTTTTTTGTGATTTTATGGTAATTTGCCTGTTTTTATATAGTGAGTTTTGTTAGTATTTTCCGTAATTCAGTTTCTAATATTTAGTACGATTTTTTTAGTACGAAGATCTGGTCAAATTGCTAAAAGAAGACAACATAAAACACAGTAAGTTACGGAGATATTAAAGGAGTCATTTGAGACTCAACCTTCAACTTCATATGAAGAACCTTTTTGCAATCTTGAACTAACGAAGAAAACCAAGCATCTCTGGTAATAATAGACCCATGATGGCTGAATTAACCAAAGCAATAGAGACTAGTCTTACTGTGAAAACCCCCACCAGAATTAATAATCCTGAGTAAGTTTAACTTTGTATATTTAAAGCAGTTTTATAAAAAAAATTAGGTCAAATTGTCAAATGGACTTGATCAGTATAAAGATAAAATTAAAATGTTAGAGGAGCAAAATGAAGAGCTACAAAAACAAGTTAGGGTAATGAAGGATACTCTCCAAAAATATGAAAATGTGTGTTGGGGGATGTCGATGAAACTGTTCCCTTGTAAATTTATTATATGTCACATAATGATGTAAATAAATTATATTATTAGAGTAATTAGATGAGTATTAATCCACTTTCATTTTACATTATTTCTCAAAACTGTGTGTGTGTTCTCTTGTAAATTTATAATAATGTGTGACATTAATGATGTAAATAAATTATTAGTAGTTCGAGTGTCCATTTTCATTTGATATTATTACTCAAAATCTCTTGTATTACTTGGTTGTTACCTATAAAAGGCAGAGGGAATTATAGCATCTTTATTCCCGTTAATAATGTCCGAAGAGAGATTTGACGATAAGCATATATATTAATTCAGTAATAAATAAATAAAAATATATTAGACTTTATTGGTGTAGTTTTGTGTATTCAAGACATAGAAGTAAAGATAAGAAATATTAATAAAATTGATGCATAAATTATTTAAAAAAAAATTATAGGCAACAAAATCTCGAATTTAACTCAAAATTGTTATGAAAAGCTGTGCTTTAACATATGGCGATTTCAAATTTTGATTCACATCTGACGTCATTCGTGCGAGAGAGATGGAGCTATACATGCACATAGGCCTACCATGTTTTCTTATACTATGTATTGAAACTAAAAGAATTTTGTTAGTTTATACTTGACAACGGGCAGTGATCCTTCTGAGCGAAACGTTCTGTTAGTCAAAATAAATACAGACAATGGAAGTCGATATTACAATATAATTCTCAAGTTCCGAATTTTAGCTTTCATAGTTCTGAAATAACCTCCGATTCAGATTACGTCAACGTTATGATGTGACGCGTTCAGAAGTCATCAAAGAAACTAAAGACACAAGCCTTCATATACCTATAAAACCAGTGCCCTTTAGAATTTCGTATAAGACGATAGCTGCTGAAAATGGAAACAGCGCAACAGCAAATAACCATCTGTCTTTATCACATAAACATGATGTAGAAGTAGATAGTTCTAAATCTATTGCCAAGCCTAGACATTTAGAAAATTAGACCATTAGAAAATCAAGTAGGTTCCCCTTCGCCAAAATACGTTTCATCTACATTTATATCACAAAAATCTACTTCGATCCAGTCCAATTTCAATGAAAACTCTTTCGATGCGCCACCAAAACCTTTGCCTTAACCGAAACGTTGTTTAATCAAAATAAAGAACGACAATGAAAGTCCGAAATTCTTTTAGTTTCGATAACCAAATTTCACAAAAATGCCTGGATTAGCCCCGAAAAATTTTTTTTTAAAATTTTGACAACCTGTATCTCGAACGCAAAGTATTTTAGGACACAATATAAACTTTTTACATTAAAAAAACTTGAATAACCTGTGAAATATGGGTCACTTATTCAGTAACACCTTATAATCGCAGTCATATAACATTTATTAAAACTGCACTCTACCAGAAAATGATACTAAGCTGAAAAAGTACATGTTATATGAAATTTGTGAAATATATGTTACATGTAGAGATGTATGGTATGACACAATACAAATGCAGAAAGCTAAATAAAAAATGATCAGAAATAATTTACAGAATAAAATAGCACCCCACATAAAATTAAATTGTATAAAAGCTAGCGAATGATTATAATAATTTGAGTATTGTTAGTATTGTCCTTTCACCAATGGGTAAAAAATAGCTAAGATTTACACATATTATACATACAGAATGATCATTTGAAGATAGTAATCAGAAATAATATCTTTTAGAAAAAAAAAATCAAGATGATTTCAACTATAAGTCGGTCGGATTGGAATAAGAACATTGATTTTATCGATATGTGATTTGAGACCTTTATGGCATTTTTTGTGCAAGATAACATCAAAATTACTAGATTTATAAGTTTTCAAAAATTCGTAATACTTAGTTAAAAAAAGTTAACTTGATTACTCTAAAAAAGATATATTTATGAAAGTATTTTTTGTCAAAGAGATATTCCCAATTATTACTTTTCAAATTTTCGCCCTGTAGTCAAAAATAAAAACGCATGGTTCTATTCTCATATTTTTTTATTTGTACAATATCAACAATACTCAATAAGAAACACCTAGTCTTATTCATGGTCGATTTTTAGAGTTCATTCTATTAAAAGTAAGGTTTATGTCTATTTTGTTATACTACTGTTTAATTGCTCTAAATGCACAACAATAAAATATAGTCAGGTCACCAAAACAACAAATACAAACTGGCACAATTAAAAGGACTTAGAAATATTTGAAGCGTTTAAGTATAGCAAAAATAACCCCTGACAAAATTCACTATAATATAAGTTTAAAGTGATACAAGAACTTGACATAAGATTTTTTTCTGAAAAGTTAACCTATGTTTAACAATAATGTAGAAAAGACCAAGAATAGTCAGTTTTGTTAATATATTTTTTTTCTAACGTCACTAAAGTATTAATTTTTGCGACGTGATTGACAATATAAAAGTTATTTTTACGCTTAGGCATAAAAGTAAAGCACTATTACGCCTAAGCATAAAAGTACGAAAATATATTATTAAACTGATTTAAAGTGTCATATTCAACGAACGTAACGTAGTTTCTCAATTATAATTACATACAAGGTATGATTTTTAAGTCTTTTTATATTATTTGGAACGTTTGAAATTGTTTAAAAAATTATTTGTGGGGTTTGAAAAAAATAGCATGTCATGTTCTATTCGGAATAAAAATGACTTTTTGTGCCTTGACTGTTAAACGTACAACCTCGCCACAAAAAGTGTCATTTTTACTCCTATAATAAAACAATATACTATAGTCTAGCCAAGGAAAATTTACTCTTTAAATTACTCAACTCGCTTTAAATTACTCAACAATGTTAAAAACAGACAAAACTTTTGTCAAGGGTTATTTTTCTAAAAACAACGCTTCAATTGTCACAGAGAATATTTAACAATCACAAGTCATCATTACTGTTACTTTCGGGAAAATAGAGTAAAGGATTTTGTACAAAATTCCTACTGGAATTTGGTGGTGAAAATAGCCGTCTCGGTAAGCTAGAGTAAGTCGTGAGTCCTTCCAAGTGGTTTATTGAGTTTTCTAAACTTACCCTTGAGACTGTATCGCCCCCGCCAGACGGCATTCTGGATAATTTCGCACAATACTTGGAATCGTACCTGCAAACATAGTAAATATTATTAATATAATATTAAATAATTAAGTATTTTAATGCGTATAATAATACGTATTATAAAGAGATATACTTATTATAATACGTATTTATAAAGAGAAGTATAAAGAGGCAGCTTTCACACTACTGTTTATGTAACTAAAGAAGCTACACCCATAATTTGTCCTAGCACTCTTAGTTCCTGAAATACAAGGCAAATTTGAAAATGTTGCATTTTTCGATCGTCTTCGTATCTTGGTTATGACTAGAGAATGCAATCGAGCACAAAAATCTCAAACCCGCAAACCCGCGGGATTAAAGCAATCGATCCCGCGGATCCACAAAATTGCGGGACTGTAAACAATAGTCATACATTTGGTCCTAAATGGTACAAAAGGCATTGTACATTTTGCATAGGCCCACAATACATTGATATAGCGTGTATCTTAAACTAGCTGTACAGGGTGGACCATTTTAGTTGTTTCCTATAGTGTATCTAGAAAACCGTGAGAAATATTCAAATTTTGATACTGCAGTCTCGGGTTCTTTTTTTGAAAAAATTACAATGGTGCAAACGGATCGTGGCTATGTTGATCGGTTTCGAAGATACAGGGGATTCTCAAATTTTGTACTTTTTGAAGATGTTCGATAGTTTGTTTATTTCAGCAACCAAGGGAAAATGGATTATACATTCTAAAGGCACTTTTCTGTGTAGAATGCAGTGGCGTAGTCAGACTTTTTTCGAAAAAAATATTTTTTGAGATATTAACTATACTTATGTTTTTTTAAATAGAACGCCCCGTATATTTTTAAATTTTCTCATTCAGCTTGGCATGGGCTTCTCGAAAATATATAACACTCTATATTTATTTTCACTTTTAACCTCAACATTTCAAATTTTTCTTAAAATATCCACTTAGTAGTAGGCCGCGCCGAGTAACAAAGTAAACGGTTGTCATGGTGATCGGGATATACCTTTGATGGATGCGTGACATTTCATCTCAACAGATTGAAGTGTGTGTATTTTAAATAATAAAAAAATGAGTAAATTTGAAAATAACATAATAAATAAACTTTGAAAACAAAATGGTAGAAATTAGATCTTAAGATTATTTTTCAATCGTTTGATAAAAAATTTCGAGGTAATTTCTTCGATAAATATCATCCAAGGATTGTTTTCTCTAAAAATCATTTTGATTGATTTACATATTATATCTTTAAGCAAATACGATATAATAATACCTGTAGATAACAAAGTTTTGTATTGCTGATAAGATAAATATAAGAAGGTAGTATTGAACAGGCAACATAAAAATTTTATTTTTAATTTCCACATTGTTTTTTAATACAAAATATGCAATATGCTTCTATTAAGCATATAATTCCTTAATCCAATTTATTGTGTTTTGCCTTGTATTGACCGTGATATTTGAAACAAAATACATTTATTTATTCATGTATCAATTACAAAATTCTAAAAAATCCAAAAAATTGGCGCCAGGGACAGCTGGGGAATGTCCATCGATGATAATTTTGGCGAGGTCAATCTCTAAACAATCTCACTCTCATTTTCAAAATATTGACAAAAAACTTATCAAAAATTGAATATAGTTATAAACAACTAAAAAACATAGTGGGTGAAAGTTAATGTTCTAAATGGAACACCCTGTATAATACTGCAGTTTTCTGCTCCTTCCTGATTATCTTACATAATTCTACATTATTAATTATTTTTTTTTATAATTCCAGAAATATAAATAATGAATAAAAAAATTATATTCACATTTCTTAAGAAAATAATTATAAATAACATTTGACATCTTGAAATGAATATAACGATCCGTATTTACTACACTTGGTCTTTTCTTATAATATTACAAATATTCTACTCGAAAACTGTACAAAGTGCTCAAAAATGTCTTTGTTAAAATATGAAATACTTTTCTCATTACTGCAACCAAAAAACAAACCAAACACCTTGTATATTATGTATTTTTAATTTAAAACACCCTGTATATTATTTTTCTGTTAGAAGCAAAACCAAAAAATGGACAACTTCTGTAGGTAAAGTATTTCGATATTTTTAAAGCTTTCGCAGATATTCGGTATCTTAATTTGCATATGGCTCTTTCAACAATAAATTTTTATGAATATCATACCCACTTAATTATTTTTGTCTCATATTTTTCCATTAAAACATCATAAAATAGAGCAACAATGGAAAACCTAGACATGTACGTAAATGAAAGAAGAATATAGGGGTAAATGAAGTATGACAAATAATGAAAAAAATAGATTAAATAAAAAAGAGCAGAATTAATTCCTAAAAATTGAACTGACAACTCACCTACTATTAAATATAAAAACCAAAAAGCTATGATATAATAGAACTTAATACAGAAAAAATGTTACGACAAAACCTAAGCTTCTTCAAATCAAATATCCTGACTTGGTTGAGATTGGGATTAAAGTATTATACTGATTAGATTTGAGTTTGACTTATCAACGAATCTTTAAATCTCACAACACAATAAGAAAATGCTAAAATATAGCTCTTACGCGACTGATATTTCTACATATATACGATATAATCAAAACAGACGAAGTAACACTATACCAATAGCTAAAAATTATGATCGTAAAAAGGGCCCTACACGATATCTGAGAGATTTAAGCTCTGCAGTCCTTCGAATCAGTCTAAATCTCAGCGTCTACTGGTGGCTTCGATCCTTATTTATACAAATAAACACAGAATATCTAGCTGTAGCTAGATATTCTGTGATATAAGGCTTCTATTAGATTATCTTTCAATTGCTCTTCTTCGTCTCATCAAAGAGATGAGATCTGTGATCTTTCAACATGCTGAATATTTTTAACTGCACATACCACAGATTTGGCAGAAACTGTACTAGACTGGCGAAATTATCTTTTATAAAATCTGAACATGTAGTGCGAAAAGATTGTTCTCGATTTGGTCTTAAGATATGAACTCTGCGATTTAGCGTATAGGTATATCAAATCATTGCGTGTAGGGCTGTTTTTAAGGCATGTCCACACTATCGTAATAAATGGAAAACGGCAGTCTGTACACAGTGTAAGTTTGTACGAAATACCTATATTTTTCTTATAGGTTATAGGAGCTATGTATGTCCGGCGCACTATTGCAAAACACTGTATGTTGTATTTTTTACTAGCCAGCATACACAAGTTAATTTATTTTTCAACAAACTATTTATTTTTTCAAAGCAATGAACCTTAAATGTAATAAAACCAATAAAAAATGTTCACCTCATAGGCGGTTTGGCGTGAGTAAATTCCAAATTCAATCACAAAATTTCGATTTGTGATTTCATCCTCACCCGGTATATAGGAAAATTAAAAACTACATTGAAAGATATCTATGAAATCTTACTCATCATGACTATATTCTTCATTCTCTGGATACAGAAATTTATATATTTTAGAGGCCATTATAACTTGACACAAACATAATATCACTATATTTCTACTACAATATATATTATGAAATACTACAAACATGAATTTTTAAATGCGATTTAAGACTTTGAAAATGAATGATTATCGTTTTATCTTATCAAACAAATATATTGTTACTTTTTAAATATATAATATGAACAAATAAATACTCATAGATTTACAGGAATTAATACAATAAAAATAAATATTACGAGTTCTATTGCATTTTTCAATTGTACTCTTATAAATAACCATTCAATTTAAGGATCGTATGCGTTTAAACTTTAAACGCAAGTAATTAGTCGGTATAATAATATAAACATGATTAAAGTAGTTTTAAATTTCGTTCCTACTGGTATACCGGGTGTGTGCATCACCAAAAGTGGCTCACCCCTACAACTTGTTTATTTTTTCAGATAAAAATACGATATTTGGTTACGTTAGTATATAACATAAATCAGGATTGATTGACGTATTCAGTTGATTTCGGTGGCTTCCTGTTTCATCGGAAATGATTGATGCCCAATGTGTTTTTAACACAGCCATAGCACCCTATACAGCGTGAGTCTTAAATATGTGCAAATATTTTCAGGGCTGGTAGATCTCGATAAAAGGAACATAATTTCTCTTTACCATTTTTAATATTAGCCCAAAATAACCGAGTTATTTAAGTTTGAAAATTAAAAAAAAATTGATTTTTTTTTTGAAAAAATTTTGAGAGCCACCAGATTTTTATCTGTATTATGTATTTCCATCCCTTTTATTACCGTAACCATATAGAGTAAAGCCATAACTATGGTAATATCAGAGATTAAGAAATTATACAGTGGGAAAATTTGCGGTGAACAAGCAGTTCTAAAAAGTTTTCGAAAAATATACAGGGAAAATTAAAAGAAAATGCACGATTTTCAACTTCTTTTTTAGCGAAAAAAACCTCATAGACGTGTTCCAGGGGTCGAAATATACTGAAACTATTTGCACTTATTTAAGACTCACCCTGTATTGCAATTTACGACTTGATTGAAAAAGTACGACTTGATTGAAAAAGTACGACTTGATTGAAAAAGTACGACTTTTTAAGCGAAAATGTCAAAAGTTGACATATGGTATGTCAGTCAGCAGTGTGTCATTTTCTATCGAATAAAGTAAAAAAATACCGAGGGTGCCATTTAAAAATCAAAAGTTGTAGTCAGTTCCGGTGAAACAGGAAGTGACAAAAAATAAGTAAATCAATCCTAATTATGTCACATACTAACATACCACATCTCGTTTTTTATCTAAAAAAAATAAAAAAGTTATCATGCGATTAAAAGAAAACAATTGCTTAAATTTCGAAAAACGTTTAGAGATTCAACATCAAGATGCACAGGCAGATCAAAAGCAAATAAATACATGAAGTATGCACGCGGAAAGTAATAGTACAGTAAAAGTAATTTACTGGAATATTACTGTAATAATTACTACTCACGTGTATGTCTCATGTATTTGTTAACATTTGGCGCATCTTGTTGAATAAACTCTAGTTAGTGTATGAAAATATATATAATAAAGGGACTTGCTTGAAATCTTGTACAAGTAAAATAATGGATTGGTTCACAGATGACTGCATTTCTATATTTATTTAATCTGATATTTATTTAATATATTTAATTTGAGAGGCTAAATTCAATGTCTAACCGTTTTAAGCTTCATTCAGAGCCTCGCAATTAGAATAAATTAGTGGTTTCAATTACACTTTATACTTTTAATTTACTATCATTCACAATGGTTAAAAAACACAATTAAAATTAATAAAATATCCTAGCAACAGCTTGCGGTAGTCCGTTGTATCCATAGAGAAAGCCTAATATTTAGCAAACAATCAACTATTCTAACCACAGTTTCTCTTGACGGAATATAATCAAAGGCCAAAATGACATTTCTCGCAAATTTTGAAGTATAATTAGTGGAAAAGTTAAAAGTTTGATAACTTTTTTACTAATTGAAAATGTCTACCACTAATTTTAACGTTCTGAATGCTTACATTAAAATTAGATGAACAAACTTCTACGGCTAATTGAAACTATTAATTTATTCCACTAATTGCGAGGTTCCTGAATGAAGCTTAAAACTTCATTCAGAACCAAACCTAATTTTAATTAATGTAAGCATTCGAACATAATTTATGGTAGTAATTTTCAATTAGTGGAAAAAGTTAACAAACTTTTGACTTTTCCACTAATTATACTTCAAAATTTGCGAGGAATGTCATTTTGGCCTTTGATTATCACCCGTTAAGAAATATATTGGTTAGAAATCAAAAGTTTATTGTTTTATAAGCTAAATAGGTATTATGATTGCTCTATGGATACAACAGACTACCGCAAGCTATTGCTAGGATATTTTATTAATTTTAATTGTGCTTTTTAGACATAGGGAATGATCGTAAACTAAAAATATAAAGTGTAATTGAAACCACTAATTTATTCCACTAATTGGGAGGTTCTGAATGAAGCTTTAGTTACACAAATTTTTCAAGGCACATTCTTTTATATTAAAGATTAAAATCGTCAAATTGGTATTGTTATAATCATATTAAACCTCCAATACACTGACAGGCACAATTTTAAAGTTAAAGGGTGTTTTATCGCAATTTTTAGCTAAATTATCTCTTTTTAAATTAAAAAATAAAGCACCTATGTATCTACCCAAGCATGCTTCAGGAGAAAATATACACTATCAAAAATTGCGCACAACTTAGATAGGCACTATCAGAAACAAGAAAAAGCCATCTTATCCGATAGTCAAGCAGTTTTAAGAACGGTCAACAGAGTAACCATCAATTCGCAGTTGGTCAAATAATGCTCAGAAGCTTAGAATTAGGCAAATAATATAAAGTCCATCTACTCTAAGTGCCAGCCCACCATGAAATGGAATGTAATGAAAAAATAGCGAACACTGCACTAACTTGAGCAAAATCGTTCTGCTACCAAAGTGGAATTTAACTTACAGGAGAACTCAAGAACCTGGAAGGCTCCATCAGTATCCTAATGGGATTCCTCCGAAGGTATAAGGCACTCAAAGAAATTTCTCAGGACTAAAAAAAACGGAAAATGTTCAAAAAAGAAAAACCGAAGATTTTCCTTGATTTAAGTAAAAATAGTCTTCTGATTGTCCTGGGGTTTTTAACAGCAGACTGTCTCTTCAATAAAGACCTCAGTAGATTTAAGTTAAGAAATATCGGCTAGTGCAGATTATGTGAGGAAAATGACGAAACACCAGAACAACACAACACTGAGTGCGGCGAGACGACAACCATTCATGTCATAAACTTTGATACGACTGATATTGGAGAAGTTTTTTTTTTATCAAGGGACTTTGAAATTGACAGTTAAAAAATTCTACTAAATTTGATAATCCACAGAACAGAGGAAATAACTTTTTATAAAATAGATACTTACAGCGAACTTGCCGCACTGCTTGATCTCTTTAACCTATTTTCGATATTTTCTTTCGAATAAGGGTTGTTCTTCATTTCTACGGTATGACTCCACTTTTCCTTTTCTTTTTTACTGTAATTTCCTAAAAAGAAATAATAATGATATATCACGTATGAGATTTTAACACATTAATGATAAGTATGCGATAAAAAAAATATTTTAATTTAAACTTACCACAAAATTCATTATCGCTAAAACTGTGATAATTTTCTTTATCTGTTTTATGATTTGCTCTTGTATTATAATTTGAATCCAAGCTGAAAAAAATTACTTAATTTAATATAAAGACAACCAGTAATACTAATTTACGCAAATATTTTCAGATTTTCTATTTTTTATATTATAGCAAATCATGATTTTACTTTAAATAAATATTTCTAGAAAACAGTCAAATGTGTTATTTCTCAATCAAAAATATTCAAAACACCTTCAAGATCAGACCCTAAATTCCCCCAATGAGAGGATACTTGACAGTGACAGTTGCGTCTGTCATTAATTCACAGGTAAATTGTATTTTCTGTCATTTTTTGGATGTCGATTGATGAAATCTTCCCGGACTCGTTGGTAAGACTATAATGAATTTAATAAAACTATAATGTTCATGTTAAAAATTATATCAAGCTCTAAGGTGAGAGTTGTATAATTCCTTATTTAATAAGCAGGCAAAAGGATCAGGGTACCTATTCTTGACATCGTTCGCAACTTTGCGTATACGCATCACGTGTATTTTTATATGGATTTTTCGGAGATGCGAGCGATATTTGAAGATGCGAGTGGTCAACATAGGTATCCAGTAAGCTATTAGTACCCACTTCAGAATATTTTTGAAAATTAAATGATAAATTTTAAATTTTTATGGTTTTCTTAATTTGGTTTGACAACTTCGACTTTTCGAGTTATATTTACTCAGAATTTTTATTTTTCTAGGTCAATAGATATGGACATATTGTAATCGCAAAACATTTTCCGATGCACGTCATTAATCATATCGACATTTACACTAGAGTCTATAAACCTGACTAAATAAAATTTTGGCAAAAATATTTAAATATTGTTGTATAATTTAAGATACCGAGCAGCTCTTCATTTTACTTTATAGAGCAAATTATTGTAACAGATATTTTATTGAGATTAAAGGTGCAAAAATTATTTTAAACCGAATTTTATTATCGCTATATTGGTCACATTGCGCCGTGTTCAGCAATGTTGTTCTTTATTATTTGACAATTATCCTAGTGTCAGTCATTATTTTGTATAATATCGTGTTGTTGTTAAATCTTTGTGAGTAACTCTGGTTTTTTGCCTATTTTTATAGTATTTTTTTAAAAATTGTACTTTTAAGCACAAACAGTTCTTTTAAGAACTAAATTTTCTAGTTTTTGTATTGTATTTCTTGAATTTGTGTGTTGAAAATATGCCGGAGCATTTGAACAGTCGAAACATAGAGCTTGTAGCTTCCCTGTTTTTTTTAACTATTTTGAACGAGAACGTGACAATAAAAGTCCTTTATTACCTTTGACTGCAGTCAGAAAAGTAAATTTGATTGATAAGTACATTATACTATGTACTTTCAAAGTTAGTTTTTATTAAATTCTGTGATTATTAGTTTGTACATTAATAGCATCCTCTTACTTGTTATTACCACTTATGGCGTTGTAAGATGTACATCAATAAATAAATAACCCATATAATAACGCTTATAATAATTTTCATAATGGACTATGTTGGATTCTATCCCTTCCTCCCATCCTTTACCCGAAAAACCTTAGTGGGTACGTAGCCGTAGTCGAGTACGGAGAGAGACAAGATCGGCCGAGTACACAGTGTACACCTCCAAGCGCGCGCTATCCTCAAGTGTTTTGTTCAAGCAAAAATCAACAGGTACGAGTCCAGAACGGGAATAAAGGTGAGTGCCCACAGTCCTGATACATCAACTCACCCTAATGAACTGAGCCCCTTAATTCTCGCCCGTAACAGACTAGTTTTTGCCAATATGTAAGAAGTAAAATAAGATATAAAACAAATAAATCAAATAAATCACTAAAATATTAGTTATTAAATTAAAAATAAAACGTAAAATTCTTTAAAAAATGATATAATAAATTATGTTATTTGTCAATTTTAAATTAAGATTCATCTCATAAATCCATCACAATCTGGCAGCGCTGTTGCCATCGCTTGTCACTCAAAGTTGATCACGTGCATCGGAAATTGTTTTGCAATTACTATATGCATATTTTTATTAATATTGTTTATGTTTTTCGTCAATATAGCCTAGGAAAATTAAGCTGAAAATTGTTGATCAGCCGAAATAATTCGTGTAGTTTTTAAAATTGGTATAGCTATCTATTGGGGTGTCCTGATAAACATAGTAAAAGTCCCCGAGGGTGAGGGACGAGCTGACGATAGGGGAGGGGGTAAAAGGTAATTTTCTTTAGTTTTTTGCTTATATCGAATATCAACCAGAGTTTAGTAAAATAAATTTAATACAAATTTTACCTTGTTCATTTTTAAGGTATGATCAATACTTTTAGATACAGGGTGTTGAAATTTAACAAAATGAAAAACTAAGAGTGATTTTGTTATCTTCCTAAATTTATTTATTTGAATCAAGCAAAAAATGTTTTTTTGTATTTAATCGTCTGTTATATTATTATTATCATAATTATTTTCATCGTCATCGACATCATTTTCATTGGGATCAACGGGCGCTCCGTTGGGACATGCACCTAAGCAGCTATTACAAAGAAGGCTGCAGTAAATTCCAGCTTTTCGGCAGCCACATTTCCCAGAACAGTCACTCTTGCGGCGGCAAAAAAATAGAATTTAACACTGTGTCAGATACGGGAGGGTCTAAGGTTGTGATTGGCTCCAGGTTTCCATCGAATCCTCGCTTCCATCCCCACATTTCAGGAAGCAGTTGGTTCCCTAGCCTCTCTTGTACTTGGTGGTAGACTCTAAACGAGTGATATTTTGCTCACCCTTTGGTAGCTGGCAGCGAAGCAAGATCAAGTTTAGGCTTGGTGCTAGATTTAAAAAAAAAACTAAGTATCGATGGCTGTTTAGATCAGTCTGATTAGAAGGGGCACGGCAGATTGTCAAAAACATCTTCTCTCCTGCTTCTACTATGGATTCTTGAGTTGACGTTAGATCATAGAAGATGGCTGCTATATCCTTTATTAATGGATTTTGTTCAAAAAGCTTAACAAACAATGTTTTGCCCTTTCTAAAAATGGCTGAGGTTGTATCGCAACCGCTAAAACTGTGAAGAAAAAGAATGGCACAATAATATATAAGCTTTTGGAGTTCTTGGGAAGAAAATATTTTAGTTTCCATTTTCCCTCTTCCCGGCTTGACAAAAAATATTTCATTCGCTGATGATGCCAGAGCCATTAAAAGAACTATAAGATCCACATCTTCTCCTACAACAGCAACCACAGAATTGTTTGCAGCTTTCTCAATAATTGCAGTTCTTGTAATTGGACAGTCAGCATCACTTACAGCCACTCTTGCTTCAATATTCTCAGCCAGCATTTTTTCTGTAAGTAGTTTAATAAGTTGGCATTTGTTTTTTGCATTTGACAGGAAATGCCCTTGTTGAACAGTTTTTCTTGCGACGAGCATAGCGAGAGTCGCGAGACTACTGGCCAAACCGCCGGCGCCGACCTGACGCGGCAAGTATTGGGCGCGCACTCGCGAAGTGGAAGTTGCCAGTGCACGGGGAGGGAGAATAAGTACGGGATGTACAACCAGTTTTGCCGCTGTTAGAACATGTGTACTATTTCTATAACATTTTTCACAGCAAAGTACAATCATAAATGGACTTAATTCTAGTCGGTTTTAGTAATCCAAGCACAAAACTACAAAAGCTAACCTTTCACCCATTCCCCACCGCCGGCTCACCCCCCACCGTCGGGGACTTTTAGTATGTTTATCAATACATTTTAAAGAATATCTATATCGCTTTTCAAGACTACACGAATTATTTCGACTGATTTCATTAATTTCCCTAGACTAATAAATTATATTGTACTATGGCTACTACTCAATATCCATTACTTTTTATAGTTGATTCTAACCTATTACACCATCTAATTACTGATGGTTTATTTTTAAAATAAAATTGCATAAAAATGCTAATGTTCGTAAAAAAATCAGTTACATTAATTGATAAGTAAATATAAAAACCTTTGCAACATTTACTCTCCAATGAATGCATTTTTTTATTGCGAACTAGATATCAGCAAAGATTGAACGAGTCGTTCATTTGAACGAATATTAAAAATAAATCGTGAGCTTCGATTGACCTAAGCGTATTCTAATACGGTTCGTTCAAATTATTAATTTTAAACAATCGGTTATTATACAGGTAAAAGCAACAATATAAATATATATCAATAATTATTACTTTAGAGTATTAATATTTTATGTTTCTATTATACTAACTTTATATTTTAGTAATAAAATGCGGTGATAGGACATCAATATTCTCCTGAAAGGAAGTGAAAAATTCCTAGTTTTCCAAAATGTTATTGTTATATAATATTTTTTTTGTATTTATCATGGACAGAACAAGACAAGATAGAATATGATCTTACCTGAAATCATCTACTGAATTTTTAACTATTTGCCGTGGCAGCGATGCATATCTTTCGGTGTATTCAGCCTCCTTTTCTGTGTTGCTGCATATCGATAAATATGATGAATCTTCAACATCTAGAAAAATAACATAACATGTTAATTTAAAAAAAAAACATTTTTTAATTTAAAAAATTAAAAAAGCAATTATTTAAAGAATATAATGTTTCAAAGAATATAATGTTTCAGAATGACGGCAAAAAATGCTTAACGTTTAAGAAGCAAAAATGTACAAGACACAAAAAAAGAACTATTTAAAATATCTAAATACAACTTTTCAAAAACACTAATTTTTAGCAGATATGTATATTATAATACGCTGAACGCTCTGTATTACTGACATTATGTAACCGTCATCTAGTAGTAATTGTCAATTTGAAGTTTAAATTTATGTAATGTCAGTTTACCAAAACGTGTGATATGAATAACAATATTAAGATAGATTAAATAGTTTTTTAGTCTTTATAGCTGAAACGTGAAGCATTTTTTAAGCTAAAAGTTGTCTCTCATTCCAATTCACAGGTAAATTGTATTTTCTGTCAATTGATGGGGATGGTCTGATGATATTCTTCACTGACACGTTGGATAGAAGGACAGACTTTACTTTAAAGGGAAAATTAAAGGCAGTTGAAAAAGTGTTAAGTATACATACTCTTTTGTCTTACTGAGGAAAGTACTAAGATATGTAATGCATATGTTACGAATGTCATCAGAATTGTATTACCCTTTTTTAATGGAACACTTTGAACATTTCATTCGTTTTTGCATTATTAGTCATGAACTAAAGACTATCCAGCGAACCAAGAAAGATATCGACAAATAACATTCAAAAAATGGCAGAAAATACAATTAAATTTAAATTGGAAAGCCCGTCAAAATATATAATTAACTTGGGATCGCGTTGGGGTTGCTAAGGACAACCGCAAAAAATAATAGCAGAAATCATTTTCTCTTGAACACGTCAGAATATGGTCAGAATCTTCAAAAATTATAAAATCTTTCAAAATTTAAACCGCCCTCATTGAAAAAATACCGAAAAGTTGTTTAAAGCGTCCATTATGAAAGTAATTATTGCTATCTTGTGAGTTTAATTTAAATTCTACTTACTCAAACCCGTGATAATTGTGAAAAAGTGGCATTAAAAACTAAAAAATTCTGTTGTGAACTGAGAACTGCAAAAACCATCGTGGATCGTGGCATAACGTCGGTTTCCAATGTTTCACAGGTGTTTCGCATACATGTCCTTATATAAAATAAGGTTTCTTGTATGCAACACACTGTATTTTATTTATAAAGTTAAAAGAAAATAATAATACATTTGAATAAATAATATTTGGCGACATAATTCCGGAAAAAGCCGAACCGATCCGAAATTATCAAAAGGTTTGGGTCGCAACCGTTGCAAGAATAGCCCCAAATAGTGTTTACATTGTCCTTATGGGCACTTTCCAATCTAAACTTGTTTCATTTATCTATGATACAATTATTTGTGACTGTCATGGATCGTGGGGCAGACATATTTATAAATCCCATGTAATCATAAAGACAAAAGAATTCGCAATTCACAAACACGAACTGGTTAACACGGTTTAGTGGATATGTGACATCGTAAGGATTAATATATTCAACAAAATGAAATTCTTGTTACAATAATTAGATTTCACAGATATTTTTCCAAATTCTGGTCGGAGCTCTTGAAAACCCGGACATGTCCGAGTAAATCCGGAGGTATAGAAACCCTATTCATAATGGTAAAATTTGCATGGGAAAAATTGTACCATATACTTACTGTCATCATCTACCGTAATATCCGTTCTGCTTTCCAACGTGTCCACAACTCTTTCCTCTTCTTTTCCGTTGACTTCTTTAACACCAGAATCCGTGGACGATTCGCTGTGAACGTCGCCATTTTCCAACAAGTGTATCTGGCTGTTCCTTCCTCCGATGATGTTCTTCGATTGAACGAGCAGAGAGTGGGCGGTGTGCGATATTTCCGGTTCCTCATAATCAGATCCGACATCGGACAGATCAGAGGTGTCATCTAAGGGCTTGTCACCAATAAGGACCTTCAATATAATTAATTGTAATAAAATAAAATAACCATTACAACAAATTGAAAAATATATACCCTCAAATGCAAAAAAAAATGCAACGGAGAAATTTTTGGTTAAATTTAAAGTGTTATATTTTTTGTTATTTTTAGCCCTATTTTCATGATTTTTTTAGCAAACTGTATATAATTATACCAACTTTAATTCGTAAACTAAGTTTTTGATAAACTTTAGTATTTGACATATTATACAGGGTTAATCGAGGGGTCGTTTTTTTATCCTAACTTTAAAAAAGCCTGTGCAATAATTTCGTGTGTATATTTTCCAGAATATAATTTTACGGTCAGAAACATGACTCCTGGGCATTTTGTTTTTTGATTCATACCAACACATGCTTTTGTTAATTTTTTAAGAGTGAAGAACTGATTGAGATCAATTTGCAATTTTTCCAATTATCGTTTTTTTGGATGTAATTGTACATCCAAATGTAAATGACTTTTAATATGACGAGATTGTTTTGGTGATTATTGTCGTAACGTCATATTACGCTGGATACTTACTGCATTAGATACTTAAAAAAACGTTAAAGACTAGCGATATTACTATCCTGTTTTAATAAATATTAATAACGATAACAGAACTAACAATATTAAAAAACATCTGCAATACTCTATGATAATATTCAAGTTCCTATACAAACAGAAAACAAATTGTAAAAAATACCCTAATAATTTGTGTTGCCTCCCTTGGCTATAACTGCCTGTATTCGTCCGTTCATACTATCAATGAGGCTGCATATATTATCATATTGCGTTATTCTTTCCCATTCTTCTTTAAGAATCAAGCAAAGTTAATTTAATGAAGCTGGTACAGCTTTGCGAGCTCTAACCGTCCTACCAAGCATCTCTCAAACTTCGAACACGATGGACAGTGCATAGTAGTATATAGTACACAATAATCACCAACGCAGGTTTATCATATTGAAAAATAACTTCAAAAAGAAATGATAATTGAAAAAATAATTGTATATTGTTGGTGGCAAGTTCATTTCGCTCTTAAAAATTAACCAAAGCATGTATTGGCATAATCCAAAAAACAAAATGCTCAGTAGACATGGTTCTGACCGTACACACAAAATTATTGCACAAGGTGTTTTAAAGTTAAGGTAAAAAAACAATCCCTAGATTAGCCCTGTATAATATGCCAAATACTAAAGTTTATAAAAAACTGAGTTCACGAATTAAAGTTGAAATAATTATCTACAGCTTGCTAAAAAATTCATGAAAATATGGCTAAAAATAACAAAAATATAATACTTTAAATTTGACCAAAAATTCTCCGTTGCGTTATTTTTTGCATCTAAGTGAATATATATAATAAAAATATGCTGTATTATATAAATTGTATATAGCATAGGATATTTAATACTCCGAAATAACTGTAGTTCGGAAAGTACTAGTAGTATTATATGTCCAAATTTATATACTATAGTAACGTATAATAATACGTAGAATGTAATAATATTCACAGTAAGTAATAATATAATAATATTCACAGGATCACAAACAATTATTGATAAAAAGACAAGAAAAAAATGAATGCGTACCTTAGCTTCAGATGTGGGATTTGGTACTAGCATTGGCACAGGTACTGGGGATGCTGTTCCTTGGAAATTGCGTCTCTGTAATAACCAGTTCGACTCGCTATCGCTGAGTAAGGACGATGTTGATCGAAAGTATTCAGCATCATCTTCTTCGGGCTCTGACTCTAAGTTATCTACTTCTTCGATATCTTGTTTGATCTGAAAAGCAATTTTAAGCAAGCATTTTAGTATTTGTACCGTAAGCACAGCTTAGTGCTTAGTATATAAATTCATGTGTTTCACTATTTACCTATATGTGTAGGAGAGTAGAAAATATACGTAAATGGTAGTAAAATGAGAGGGATCTTCATTTCATAGCCACGGCTGACGCCGTTTTTTTTCGATCATACGGTATTATAAGAATATATTATGCTAGTACCACATTTACACAATGAGTGGAAAGTGAAGCCAAAGAAAAGAAATAGGATTATTAATATTGCATAAGTCTATCCTTTTGGTTCAACACGATTTTTATGCGCACGCCCCAAATAAAACGATCTGATTCGTCTACTTCATCGCTGAACGCTGCCCGCTGAACCAGCTGTCACCTGACCGCGCACTATTTTAAACTCTAATGTATAATATATGTATATACTTATAATATATTTGGACAGTAGCGAGTAGTCCGGACACCAGTTTTGATCTTTTTTAAGAGAAACCTCATTGGTGCTCAAAATCAAAATTGACACATAAGAAGCGAATGTCTATGCAAGGTCGTAAATTGTAAAAGATCATAAATTGACCTGCTGGTACTGAATCATCTATCTTCAGAGTTAGGCGACTTCGAGATGTCGAATTTCGACAAATAATAAGTTGATATAAAATTATAACTGTAGTTAAAGTAAAGCGGCATATGATTAAAACTTAAAACCAGCTGAACATAAGACATAATAAAATGATCTTCTACTTCGCTGAGTGATTTTTTGAAATGCAAAATTTTACTCTTAAATAATTGTAATGTATAAATTTCAAAGATACCTACCTCAACACGATACCTAGCTACCTCAGTAGTTAACCTAAATTATGCTATTACTGACTGAGACTTATTGTTGGTACCTATTGAGTTGTTTTCTTATATCTCACCTTAAGGGTAACTTTATCCACATATTTCTTCGATCCGAAGCTGGATTCGCTGTGAATCCAATCATCTAAGCTGGATACGGATGTCGTATCCAGATCAGTAGTTTTCCACTTGCTATCCAACGTTTCCTCGCTAAAGAAATACTCTTTATCATCTTTGTATCTCGACGATGTAGAGACGCGACTAGACACACTGTTCGCCGAAGAAGAAGGGCCATTATTTTGACAGCTACTGATCACCTAGAAGAACAAAGAGTATGAATTAATAATATACAGGGTGCTACAAATTCGAGGTACGAGCATTGGTATCTCGGAAACCGTAATAGATACGAAGATGGTTAAATTGGAGCAAAGTTGCGCTTTGGGATGTTCACCAAGATGCCATCAAAAAAGTTTTAAAAATGTCAAACATTTTTTGGTTTTTAGGAAAGAACGGATTTTTTTGAAAATCAATTTTATTTTTTCCTGCCGTTACTTTTTAGAAAATCAAAAAAGTAATTGCACATTCTCATAGCCACTTTATTAGAGCTATCTTATAGTATTTTTAGATTTTCAAATTAGCCGCAAATTTGTGAGATACAGAGGCCAACTTAATTTTTTTAAATACGGACCTGCATTTTTTATTTCAGATTTTGAAAGAACTCGGTCTCCTGAGTACAATGATATGCCACACTTAATATTTTTTTGTTTCAGACATTTGAACACAATTATTTATTTAAACTAATTTCAAGTCCAGCTCTGTTTTTTTTAATATTTAATCTATTCATCGTTACAATGTCGATAAGCTTTCAAACTTAAAAATGACGTGGGGTAAAACATTGAATATTGAAAATCAAATGCAATAAAATAATAAAAAATAATATACAAATGAATACATTACTTCACGTCATTTGTAAAAGTGAAATCAATACATCTCAATATTAAAAGTATAAAATGCTTTCGGAAGTATAAGAAGAAAGTTCAAAGAGCTATAAATAAAATTGAACGAAAAATAAATTTGTGCAATAGGGAGGTAGAACATTAGAAACCTTTACCTTTCGTAGAATATTAGAAACTTTTGTTTGTAGAAGTTTATTTATTTATAATAACTACGATGAATATTACGCATATTATTAGATCGCACACTAAGATTTCAAATTCACAATAAAACAAATAAAAATAATATCTTTAAATTGCTGACCTGGATATAATTTATTTGAATCTTTCAATTGACTCGATTTTCCTTATTCAATGTTAATTAGCGCTGATCAATATGTATATTACAATGAATATAATCAGATTAAATAATTAAAAAAAAACAGTCCGACTTGAAATTATTTTAAATAATAATTATATAGTTTTTTTGTTGTTAAGGTACCAAAAACAAAAAAGTATAACGTGTGGCATATCCTTGTACTCAGGAGACCGAGTTCTTTCAAAACGGAAAATAAAAAATGCAGGTCCGTATTTAAAAAAATTAAGTTGGCCTCTGTATCTCACAAATTATCAGCTAATTTGAAAATCTAAAAATACCCTAATAAAAATCAGATAGCCCTAATAAAGTGGCTATGAAAATGTGCAATTAGTTTTTTGATTTTCTTTAAAGTAACGACAGGAAAAAATAAAATTAATTTTCAAAAAAATCCGTTTTTTCCAAAAAACTCAGCAATCCTTGAAATTTTTAAAACTTTTTTGATTGCATCTTCGTGAACATCACAAAGCGCAACTTTGCCCCAATTTAACTATGTTCGTGTCTATTACGGTTACCGAGATACCAATGCTCGTACCTCGAATTTGTAGCACCCTGTATATTAATATATATTTTGTATTAAGTGGTAAAATGTGCATGAAATGTTAATTAGTAAAACGTAAAAGTGTCAATTTTTAAGTCAACATTTCAGCTTCAAGAACGTTTTATACAGGGTGTCCCAGGCTGAGCGTCCATTAGAAGTTTCTACCTGTATGTTCTACCCTGTCTATCCCGTGTCTATACTATTAAATTTAAAATTATATGCCTGTTATAAACACATTACGTGAGGGTAGCAATGTTACGTTAGCTTGGGTACCAGTGCGCCATGGTCACAAGGGTAACGAAAGAGCAGATGAAACGACCAAACAAGGTTCCAAACCAAAATTCACGGCCGACCTGATTAGCAAAAGACAGAAATGCAATCAAAGATGTAATGGGTCTACAAACAGGGCATTGTAAGCTGAATAAGCATCTAAAGTTGATAGGATTGGCGGACGAAATCGTGTGCAGGTTTTGTCAGTCTAAAGAAGAAACGACAGAACTATGACAGAACACATTTTATGTCAGTGTGACAGCCTGGCAAATGTATGGCTCTTTGTAGTAGGTTCTTTGTTCAGTTTCCAAGTTGCCAGACTTTTCCAAAAGGATAGGACTGGAGAATGTAATCTAAAGTTCAGAAGAGGGCCACAATAGATCTGAAAAGGTCGCAGTGTTACACCTCGAAGATTCTAATCTAACCTAATCTAATCTGCATAATATATCTGTTACCGATGCTAGCATATTCTGTAAATTGCAAGTCAAAAACTGATGTAAAAATGCCAAAAAAAACATATTAAACATATGATGTAAAAACAATTTTTTTATGGGTATATGTAGAGAGGCAATGTGCATAATTTTTTTTTTAAATGTACAGGGTGTGTCAGAACTAAGATCCATACCAAAGTTATATTTTCTCTTATGGAACACAGCCAGTATTTTATTTCATTTTTAGATTCTTGGGCATAAAATAAGGCATTTATTATAAGGGTTTAATATATTTAATTGCTTTGGTTTTTGAGATATTTAAACATATTTAAATATGCATTCTATAATAAAAGAGTTTGTCAACACCATGCTATAATAAAAGAGTTTGTTAAAATAAGTCGAAGCAGATTTAAATACTCTTTAAAACTATATTAGGGTTTCTTATACCTATTTGGCTCAGATTTTGAATAAAAAGCGATTTTTAAATAAAATGGCAATCAAGATGGCTGGTGTAGTAGCTATTTTCAAAATTGACATTAGTTTATGGACTTTATTTACATTTATAGCAGTTTACTTTTATTGAATTTACCTACCTACAATAGTTTAGTATGCGTATTTATTATTTTATCAAGAAAAATAAGAAGTAGTTCTTTGATTTATATTACGATGACTTGTAGATATATTGGATTTTCTATAAAAGAGCCAATTAAGGCAAATTCATTTTCTTCGCTTCCAACGACAGGTTTCTGCCTAATATGTTTTTCTATGGGTTTTTCATATGCCACACTATCAGCTCTGCGAAATAGGAAAAGTAGTTTTTCAAAGAAATGCTTGTCAAGAAAATTGCTATTTAGATATCTTTGAGCATAAACCCTTCAGGCCAACAAGCAACTGTCCTCACAAAATAAAATCATCATCATCATCATCATCATCATCATTTAGCTTATACCGTCCACTGCTGAACAAAAGCCTCCCTTAACTCTAGCCATTTCCTTCTATTTTGTGCCACTTGAATCCAGTTTCCAGCCACCCTCTTAATGTCATCTGTCCATCGACTAGGAGGTCGTCCTCTGCTTCTATAGGCCTCGTGTCTCGGTCTCCATTCCACAATCTCTTTGTCCACCGTCCATCGGTCATCCTAGCCACATGTCGTGCCCAATTCCATTTAAGATGTAAGACAGATATCACCGCATCTCTTACTCCTGTTCAATTTCGTATTGTATGATTGGGTATTTTATCTCTGTGTAACTCCCAACTTGGACCTTTCCATTTTCCGTTGCATGACCTGCATTCTATGTATGTTCTTTTTTGTCAAAGTAAGAGTTTCAGCTCTATACGCGAGGACAGGCAAGACACACTGGTTAAAGATCTTTCTTCTTAAACATATGGAAATATCAGATCTCAGTATATGCCTTAGTTTTCCGAAAGCCTTCGACAAACCTATTCTTCGTAGAATTTCTTTGGTCTGATTATCCCTTCTAATACCGATCTCATGCCCTAAGTATTTATATATATGCACTTGTTCCAAAGGTATGTTATTAATGTTTAAATTTCCACTTAGTACTAGGTTCTGTGCATTGATTTGTCGATATTCTGACGTTTGCCGTGGCATTATCATATATATGTCTTATGATTGAGGAGTATCGATGATCGATGCGACTCTCACTTAGTGTCTCTAGAAGCTTCCGCTGGTCTACCGAATCGAAGGCCTTCTCGAAATCCACGAAGACAAGCATTAGTGGTCTATTATACTCAATGCATTTCTCGATAAGGACCTTGACTGTTAGAAGATGGTCATTTGTTCCGTAACCTGATCGGAAACCTGCTTGTTCGCTCGAAAGAAAAAAAGTCTATTTTATTTGTCAAACGCTTGGTGAGTATTTTAGTAAATAATTTGTATACGTGGCTAAGAAGGCTGAGGGGCCTATAGTTTTTAAGGTCTGTAACGTCACCTTTCTTGTGTACAATAATGATGGTTGCGTTGTTCCACTGTGATGGGGTTATTTCTTCTTCAATGCATTTATTAAATAGGACATTTAAAGCTCTATTGTTTTTCATATCTCTAAGGGCAGTGATAATTTCTTCCTCGGTTATTTCTGGAATTTCTTCCGACCCCTGATTTATTACCGTTCGGATGTCGGTTCTGATCCCCTGCTGTTTTGATGTAAAGTTCTTGATAGAAAAGTTAATAGAGTGTAGGATTTCCTGTTTGTGTGTTACTATGTTGCCGTGCATATCCTTGATCTTTTGTATTTCTTTTCTTCCCATTGTACTATTTCTCAATACCTTCAAACTTTGATTCTTCTCTATGACGTTCCTAATTTTTTCCGTATTCTGTTGCCTCCTATGCTTTCTGATTTCTTTGGGTATCTCTCTATTTAAAGTTCTATATTCTTGTGTACTCTTGTCCTCCATATCTCTTCTCTGTTTCATTAAAAGTTCTGTTCTTTGATTCAGTTTTTGTTCTTTTACTTTTTTGGGACAAAATTTTTCGATAGCTGTTTGAGTGGCCCCTTTGATGTTTTCGTATATTTCGTCTATCGTATTAGTATTTTCATAATTTAGATTTGAGGCTATACATTCCTTATAAGAATCTTTATTTTCAGGGGCTACCCATTTCTTGTGGTTTTTCTTGAGTATCATGTTAGTTCTTTCCTTCTTTATATTTATTTTTATCTCGGCTCTTACAATGCTGTGATCGCTTCCTATCGAAAATCTGTTTAATACACTTACGTCTTTGATTACATCTTTTCTATTGCTGATTATG